CACTGTGCCACTTAGTTTGCTCTAATGGTTGGACTCCAATGATTGAATTTAGGTAGTGTGGTATAGTGGAAAGAACACTGTCTCTGGAGTCAGAGGACCTGGGTTCAAATCCCACCTTTGATGCCCACTATCTGTGTGACCCCGAGGTGAGTCATTATACTTAAACCTGGGCTCCAGTTTCTTCATCTGTAAAATGGAAGGTTGAACCCCAAGGCCAACGAGGTCTTTTCCAGGCCTAGAGCTAGGAGCCTATGAATATGAACATAACATCATTAGTGCCTCTCTACAAAGTTGGACAAAGCCAGGATCTCTACTCTGGGTGTACTTGTTATTATCAACACCTCCTCGTATCTTGTTCAATGACTGTACCCTGGAAGAAATGATCATAATCTTATATTTCTATAAAAATTTATGGTTTATGATATACCTTCCTCTTGAGTTCTACAAGTATATAAGTATATATATGATGGTTTTTATAGTTGGGTTATCTGAGACTTAGGGTAGAATTGATTTGTCCAAGGTCACAGGGCCAGTAAGTTTTGGAGTTGAAACTTGAATCAAGGTCTTTCTGAATCCAAGCTTATATTTTTTTCTTTTCTATCATGCTGCCTTCCAAAGTGTATACAAGAAGTTAGGCTTCAGTTTTCTTATCAATAAAATGGGGAATTTGGCCTGATGGTTGCTAAGGTCCACTCTAGCTCCAAATTCTATGATCCCATGATTCTGTCTCTGGCTAAGTTCTTGGTTCATCTCAGGGTATTATCAATGCTGATACCTCACATCAGTCCTCTTTTCAGCCAGATTACTTCAGATTCCTAACCTTCACCCCACCTTCCTGGATTCTTGATCTTCTGCCTTCTCTGACCAATGACCATTGTCTGGCTTTTTCTGTCCCTGCACCCACTGGGTAACCCCTGACCTATATCCTTACTTAGAGCCCATCCTCACATTCTTGCTGGAATAGTTTAGTCTGTGGACATGGCCCCAGGATCACAGCCCACAGTTGCAAAAAAAGCCAAACTTTGGTAGATAAAATGAATCAAACAAAGTATTGGTCATCTCCTCAAATACACCCTATATCTTGCTGGCTGATCCAGCATTGACCTCACGTCTGCCAGAGTCTCTGCTCCTGAAGCCAATTTCTCTCTCCCCTTTTCTCCCTCTCCCTTCTCTCTCTCTCCCTCCCTCCTTCCCTCCCCCCCTCTTAAAAACAAATAAAATTAGATAACAGTTTGTAAATTTTGTTTACCACATTGATAGCTATTTTTGTTCTGTTTTCTTTTTTTTAACTTTTTTCCCATCAAATTTCTATTTTTGTGCTTAACTTGGGTATTATTCATTTGTTGTTTTCCTGGTCGTTTTTTCACTTGCAACCAGTCATCCTGTTATCTCATCCCCTTAAGATTTCAGCCTCTGAAGAAACTCTGTTACCAACCCAGCAACTTACTCTTCCCTGGCTTCTTTGGAACCTATTCCTCTTCTCCAGGAGGGTTCTCGTTTTGCCCCTTGCCCCAACTCAGATAAAGAATGACCCCTTTCAGTGTAATATTTACAAATCCTATTTCTATAACTCTTCAAGATTGCCATAGTAATTTCCTCACAAAACCCTTGTGAAGTATAAATATCATCATCCTCCTTTATATGTAAGAAGACTGAGGCTCAAAGAGTGTAGTTCCCCAAGGTTACACAGGAACTAAATATCTAAGGCAGTATCTAAGTATCTAAACCTGTGTCTTCTGGCTCCAAGTCCATTTTTTTTCCTCCTCCTCCTCCTCCTCCTTCTTCTTCTTCTTCTTTTCTTCCTTCTCCTTTCACCTCCTTCTTCTTTTCTTCCTTCTCCTTTTTCTCCTCTTCCTCCTCTCTTCTCCCTCCTCTTCTTCCTTCGTTCTCCTTCTCTTCCTTCTTTCTTTCTTTTGCTTTCCCCCCTCCTTCTTTCCCACCTCTTTCTCTTCCCCTTCCTTATATCTGACATTAATCTAGAACTTTAAGCTATACCAAGCACCTGACACAAGGCACTTATTTAATGTTCACAAAAAGCCTGTGATGTAGGCTGTTTGTGATCTCAGTGATTTGAAAGTTCCTTTGAACTCTGCAGATCAAAACCCTCCATCCCCACCCATCCCATCTTATTCTCATCCACATCTTCCCTAAAACTTCTCATGAGGGTCTGACCAACATACTGGGAAAACAAAACAGAATTTAAATTGTTTCCCCCAACACCACGGGGTACCAGTAGGCGCACTGTGGTTGTCCACGCTTCATCTTGTCCGCCTGCCATTGGGCTGTCCGCTCTTGCCAAACGTCCAGCCCATCTATCCACTCTCTCTATCACACAATTCTCTGATGACATGCTTTATTCCTATTCTTCTTGGGAGTTCCTCATTGTTTATACATTGCAGCCTGCTAATACCCACCATTGCATCTTTCCTTTGCTCTCTGGATGATGTTTGTCTCTAATTTTTTAGAAGCAGTGATATTCTAGGTCTTGTTCCTATGCTGTTAACACTGGTAAAATGTTTCTATTGAAAAGAGGGGCATTTGCTGTTATGGGAAACTTGGAGTCCATTAACAAGCTCTGCATTTTCCTGAAAGCGATTCGCGCCACTTTCCTTGTCAACTCTGGGCCCGGTTCATTGTATGTTTGTACCATCCCTGATACACCCTGTCCCTGACACACCCTGATACTCGTCCCTGACAACACCCACTGTGGGACAAGCTCTAGAGGGTATTCATGCAGACACATGTTGAACTCTGTGCAACAAACATTATGCATCCACTTGGTCTTTCCTGTGTGGATGTTTGGGCCAAATTCCCCTGAGTGATTACAGGTTTCTTCAAGGAGGTTCTGCATTCTCCCAGGCTCTTGGGACTTGAGGTACCTAACACAAGGTTATCCACAAACAGGAGTATCTGGGCGACCTCACCATCCACAGGGTTCTGTCCTTGACCCAGACTGCTACACCGATCTCTCCCACCACAGTATTAAATGGATATGTCTCCCTATTTTATGCCTTGTTTGATGTCTATCATCAGAGGGTTATTAAAACAGGGTCATTTTTGTTACATCTTCCAAGGAATCCTGGGATATCTTGATATATGGGTGAAAGACAGTTTGTTGGGAAAGAGCCTGGGAGGTGGCATTTTGTTCTGCTGAGTTCAATGCTTTTTTTGTAACAACAACAACAAATACTAGGTACATTTATATATCTCTTTAAAGTTTGCCAAACAATATACACATTATCTGATTTGATTAACATGGAATCATGTAATCAACAAACGACAAGCCTGGTGGGATCTTATATTCTCTTCATCTTTCAGTAAGTTGTGAGGCGGTAAAGGTGTGGTCCATTGTGGACTGCTGATTTCAAAAGCCTGCTTGCTCCCTACTAGCATCGCACTGAGGACGTCCTCAATTCCTGTATAAATGCTCTTTGTAAAGCTTTGGCACAGATAAGAAAACAGGCATGTAGGCCAGAGGTTATTGATAGTTTCTGTCACTTTTTTGAGTATTACCAGGGTCTGAGTTTTTTCCCCCTTTACCTTTGATAGATTCCTCTCTGTCGGATGGGGGGCCAGGGGAGGATAAAGACAGGAAGGTGTAAGGATGACTCTTCAGAGTCAAGTCTGGACACCTGAAAAGATGGTGGTATCCTCAACCCAAACTAGATTACCAGGTGCTGAAGTGTGTGGGAGACTAGTCATTCCAAGGCTCACAGATTTAAATTTAACTTTGAAAGAGAAAAGTGGTATAGAAGGACAGTTTAGGGGAATGTGAGTTTTTACTTAAGATGGTTTTTTTAAGGTTGGGGGAGACCTGGGCATATTTGTAGGAAGCAGGGAGAAAACCAATAGATAAAGAGATTGAAGAATAAAGAGAGATGGTGGGGAATGTTAGAAGGAGGAAGCTCTGGGAGAAAAGAGAAGGGATGGGGACCCACTCTTCATTGGAGACCAGAGCAAAGGAGAAGAGAATAGAAAATGATGCAGAAGAATTTTGAGGTATAGAAGAGGAGAGAAGATGGTTGGACTCTATCATTAAGTAGGAGGCAAAATCCTTTGCTGAGAGGAAGGAAGGTATAGGAGGCTTGACCAAAGAAGAGGAGGTTTAGAACAGCCATTTTAGGGAGAATAATGGTGAATCAATCAGGGAAGAGAGGGCAAGCTGATATTTGATAACATCAATTCTCACTGGCCCCATTCAGCAGGATTGTGTGACTTCCCCCAGTGATACTTAGCTGGGCTTGAAGAAGTGGAGAAAGCAGATGGTGGAGGTCACCCAGAGCTGGGATTTGATAAGGCATGAGTGATGATAGGACAAGAGAACAAGGGATTCTGTCTGTAGAGGATGACGTTTAGTTGTATTGGTTAACCACAAGGTCTGGATTTTCCTTTCATCTAAGTTTTCACTCCTGGAGACTGAGGGCCAGGAAATGAGGGCCGAGAGAGGGAGAGGAGGGCGGGCCCTGCTGAGATCAAACCTGGACACACTAGGTCCCTCTCTCTCCATCCCAGGCCTTTTTCACATTACAATAAATAAACTCACCATGAAATCACTGTTCCAATATCTGCCCCTGCCCCTAATAATTACACTATAAGATATACAAAGCACTTTTCCCACAAAAAGCCCCCAATGAGATAGGTAAGGATTATGATTCCTATTTTACAGAGGAGGAAACTGAGGCACTAGTAAAACAACCTACTGTCACACAGCTGGCAATGACAGGAGGCAGAATTCAAATGCAGACCTCAGGTCTCCAAGTCTAGAGTTCTTTATGCTACAGATTCTTCATTTCCATTAGAGGCAGGTAGCCCTGGAGGCTTCTCCTTTGTTGCTGGAGGAAGCTCCTGAACTAGGCTGGCTCTCAGGTTAAAGCTCAGGGCATGAAAGGAAGAGAAGCCCCTGCCCCACCCCCCTTCCTGAATGAGCTCAGCCAGAGTGCTCTGAGCCCTCCCAAGCAGGTTGCCCAGGAAATCAAGAAGAGATAAGGCCAAGGTCTTACTTAGGCTGTAGAGTCCACCGTCCGTCACTAGGTCCTGCCTGAAGATGAACTGTGCTTGCTTGAGATTGATGGCTAACCCCTTCTGTTTCTCTTTCCCCATGACTGAGGTACTCAAGCTGCTTGATCTGGATAAACTGCCTTGACAAGATCAACGGAGATGGTTAGTGTCCATCCCAGTGTCTCCAGAGTGGGGAGAAAAGAGGTCAAAGGGAGAGCGAGGCACAAAGGTACCCACCCGGCATCCTATCTTCTTACTTCAAAGAATCATAGACTTCTAGAGCCTTGCATGCGTGTTGGGGGGAGGAAGAGTGTAGAACAGGATGTTAGTATCTAGAACGTTAGGGCTAAAAAGGACCTTAGAACACAGAATATCAGAGCTGGGAGGGGCCTTAGAACACAGAATATCAGCGCTTAGAGGGGGCTTTAAAACACAGAATGTCAGAGCTTGGAGGGGCTTTGGAACATAGAATATCAAAGCTGAAAAGGACCGTAGAATACGGAATACCAGAGCTGGCAGACACCTTAAAACAGAGAATCAGAGCTAGAAGGAACCTCAGAAGAGAACACATCAGAGATGGAAGAACCTTTATAACACAGAATGTCAAGTTGGAAGGGACCTTAGAAGGGAGAGTGGCAAAGATGGAAAGGACTTTAGAACATGGGACATCAGAGCTAAAAGTGACGTTAGAAGGGAGCGTGGGAGAGTTTGAGAATATAGAATGTCAGAGCTGGGAAGGGAGGGCCATTAGAAGGTAAAATACCAGACATGAAGATGACCATAGAACAGTGCCTGTTAGAATATAGAAAGTCAGAGCCAAAAGGAACTTTAGAAAAGAAAATGTTAAAACATAGAACACAGAATGTTACTGTTAGAGTTGGAAGACTCAGGACACAGAACGTTAGTGTTAGATGACTCGGAACACAGAACATTAGTGTTAGAGTTAGGAGACTTAGAACAGAGAACATTAGCACTGGAATGGGTCTTTAGAGATCACTTAGCCCAGCTCCTTCATTTTACATCAGAGAAAAATGAAACCCAGAGAAGGGAAGGGATTTAGGCAAGGTCACCCAGCTATGTGGCAATGGCAGAGCTTGGACTGATAATAACAGATCACATTTGTAGAGTGATTTGTAGTTTACAGAGCACTTTTCTTATATTGCAACAACCTTGTTTGGTAGGTAGTACAAGTGTTTATTATTATCCACATTTTACTATTTTCAAAGGTGTTCCTCCCAACAGTTTTATGGTGAAGGTGAGGATTATTATGAAGATAGAGAAGTGGAGGTTCAAAAAGGGGAATGATTTGTCCAGGGCCATATAGTTAGAAAGTGGGACTTGAACCTAGGTCTTGTGATTTGAAATCTAGTGCCCTTCGAATGACACCATGGGTTGGACTGGGGTGAGTCAAAGTCTCCACGGCCCTCCTCGTATATTGTGTTCCTTCTCTGGGTCCCCAACCTCAGCCCCATGGCCCACCCCTGGGTGTAGGCAGCCCCTTGCCAGTCCCCTTACCTGTATTGGTGTATTCCACCATGGTGGGCAGGTAGGCCCGGCTCTTGAGGTCCATGGGCACAAAGGCTGTGTATTTGCTAATGACATTGCAGGCTCTGCTGGTGTGCACGGCATTTGCCTGGTATCGATGGCCAGAACCTGGCAAAGTGTAGGAGTTGGAGATTGAGGGCAGGAGAAGCTCTGATCACAGTTTCCCCAATTGGAAGCTCTGCATGTTATACCCTCCACCTTTCCAACTTCATTCACTCCCTCTCTCTGGGTCCCCTCACAACTCTAGTATTCTTAGATTCATAATATGCCAAGTGATTGGTTGCTTTGAAAACATATTCTTTACTTGTCCTCTCTCTGAGCCTTTTCTTGGGCTACTAACACCCAATTCACTCCTCTCTGTCTATTCAGATCCTACCTGTCTTCCAAGGCCCAGCTCAATGGATGCTCCCTCCAGGAAGCCTTCCTTTACTACCTGGGTCCATAGTGATTACTCCCTCCTCTGAACTTCCAGAGCAGCTGGATTCATAATTATAGACTCATAGAACTTTAGAACTGGAAGGGACCTTAGGACACAGAAAATGTTGAATGTTGGAATGGAGAATATTGACCCTGGAAGAGTCATTAGAAGTAGAATGTCAGAGCTGGGAGAGGCCTTAGAACCCAGAATGTCAGAGCTGGGAGGGCCCTTAGAACATAGGATGTCAGAGCTGGGAGGGCCCTTAGAACATAGGATGTCAGAGCTGGGAGGGCCCTTAGAACATAGGATGTCAGAGCTGGGAGGGCCCTTAGAACATGGAATGTCAGAGCTGGGAGGGCCCTTAGAACATGGAATGTTAGAGCTGGGAGGATCCTTAGAACACAGACTGTCAGAGCTGGGAGGGCCCTTAGAACACAGAATGTTAGAGCTAGGCAATCCTACTACATCTCTCTCATTATTGTCGTCATTCAGCCGTTTCAGTTGTGTCTGATTCTTCATGACTCCATGTGGGGTTTTCTTGGCAAACATACTGGTGTGGTTTGTCATTTCCTCCTCCAGCTCATTTTAGAATGAGGAAACTAAGGCAAGCAGGGTTAAATGACTTGCCCAGGGTCAACACAGCTAGCTAGTGTCTGAGCCTGGATTTGAACTCCAGTCTTCTTGGCATTCTATTCACTTCACCACCTACCTGCTCTATATCTCCCTTATCAACTCACTATCCCCCTCTCTGCAGCTTTTCATCCTTCCTCAAACCTTCCATGGCTCCCCCTCCCACTTTCTTATCTGAGAACCTTGCCTTATATTTTACGAAAAAAAACTTGAGGCCATTCTCCACAAACTCCCTCTTCTTTCCTCTTCCCCATTTCCTATATCTTAAGTGCCTTATGCTGCTTTCTCCTTCCTTCTTGTCTCACATGATGAAGTAGTCTCACTCCTTTCTTAGGCTAAACCCTCTGCTCATTCTATCCCATCTCCTCCCACAGATTGTCCCCTCTGTCATCCCCACACGTCTACTTATTGTCAATCTCTTCCCTTAGACTGACTCATTTCCTACCACCCACAAACTTGTCCATGTCTCCCCTATCCTGAAAAAGCCCTCACTTGATCCTTCCATCCCCACCATCATCCTATATATCTTCTCCTTGTAGCTAAACTCCTGAAAGAGGGCGTTTACAATAGGAGTCTCCACTTTCTCTTCTCTCACTCTCTAAACTCCTTGCAAGCTTGTTTCTGACCTTATCATTCCACCCAAACCGCTCTCTCCAAAGTTACTAGTCATCTCGTAGTTGCCAAATCCTTTGGCTTTTTCTGACAGTGTTGATCACTCTCCTCCTTGATAGTGTCTTATCTCGAGGTTTTCAGGGCACTTCTCTCCCCTGGTTTTCTTCCTACCCCTCTGACAATTCCTTCTCAGTGTCCTTTGCTAGATCCTCTTCCAGATCATGCCCTCTAACCGCAGGTGTCCCTCAGGGCTCTGTCCTGGGTCCTCTTCTCTTCTTCTATACCACTTCACTTGGAGATCTCATCAGCTCCCATGGACTTAATGACCATTTCTATGTTGATGAGTCTCAAATCTACCCACGCTGCTCTCTGCCGACCTCCAATCTCACACATCTAACTGCCATTCAGACATTTAGAACTGGATGTCCAGGAGACATCTTAAACTCAGTATGTCGAAAACAGAACTCCTTATCTCTCCCCCTAAACCCTCCCCTTTTCCTACCTTCCCTATTAATCTAGAGGCAATACCATCCTCCCAGTCCCTCAGTCTCACAACCTAAATGTCATCCTGGATTCCTCACTCCTCTCACCTCCTCCCTCCATATCCAAGCTGTTGCCAAGGCCTATTGACTTCACCTTTGCAATATCTCCCAAACATGCCCCTTCTCTCCTCTGACACTGCTATGACCCTAGTAAAGACCCTCATCATCTTTGCCTGGGCTATTGCAATAATTTACTGCAGTGTCTGCCTTTCTTCTCATCTCTCCCGGCTTCAACCCACCCTCTATTCAGCCACTAAAGTGATTTTCCTAAAGTGAAGGTCTGATCATGTCAATGCCCCATTCAATAAACTTCACTGGCTCCCTATGGCTTTCAGGTTCAAATACAAAATGCTCTGTTTGGCATTCAAAGACCTCCATAACTTAGTCCCCTCCTACCTTCCCAGTCTTCTTACACTTTGTGTCCTGACAGGTGCTCTTCAATCCAGTGGCATTTGCCTCCCGGCTGTTCCAACAGCAAGACATTCCATCTCTCTGGTCTGGGCATTTTCTCTGATCATTCCCCATGCCTGGGATACTCCCCTCCTCCACTCTGACTACTGACCTCCTTGGCTTCCTTTAAGTCCCAACTGAAATCCCACCTTCTACAGGAAGCCTTCCCCAGCCCCTCTTAAATTCCAGTGTCTTACTTATTTTTAATTATTATTATTATGTAATATAATACATTATACATTATATATATATATATATATATATAATTTCCTATTTATACTTTATATAGCTTGCTTTGTATAAATTTGCTTGCATGTTGTCTCTCCCGTTAGATTGCAAGCTCCTCGAGAACAGGGGCTGGTATTTTTTTGCCTCTTTTTGTACCCATAGGTACAGTTTCTGGTACATAGCAGTCACTTAAATATTTATTGATTGATTGGTTGATCGATTGAAATTGTGTCCCAAGGAAGTAAAATAAACGATTATCATATTGAGTAAGGGCCAAAGGTGAGATTTAGACTCAGATCCTTTAGTGCTCCTTCCACTGTACCAGCACCATAGGGAGACAAGGCCAGAAGACAGAAAAGGCAGGATAGTGGAGGCAATGATGTAGGAGGAGAAGCTTTGGAGGAAGAGGAACCACTGGGGATAGGAGATCCATGGAGAAGTACTTGGAGTGGGAGGAAGGGAATGAGGGATAAGAAAGAGGAGCCCCAGAAAATATGGAATGATGGGAGAGGGTGAGAAGTTAGGGGAAGAGGAGGAGGTGCCTGAGGAAGGAGAAGGGATGGGTGAGGGAAGATGGAGATGGTGCCTCGAAGGATGGAGAACTAGTGGAGGAAAGGGGTAGGAAGGCAACATAGGTGAGGAAGGGGAGAGAATGTGCAGGGTAGGGTGCTCACCGGGTTCGATCTCACACTCCTTGTCAGCCAACTGCTCAAAGTCTCTGATGATGGCCTTGGCAGCCAAGTGGTGGATGGTCCTTCTCCAGAGGTCACAGTCATACTCGCTGTCATTGTCGATGCTGTCAGGGATCTGCAGCTCCTGGTTCAGGGCCCCCAGGTCAAAGACTACCTCCCACTGCACAGGCTTGTTATTCGTTATGCCTTTGACTACAGCCTTGCAGATAGGTCGGGAGGCCAGGGGGCAGCCAAGCCTCACCTTCTGCATGGGCTGAGGTGATGCATCCCCCTTTGAGGGGGACTCCTGTTCCAGCTCCAGCTCTGACTCAAAGGGACAGGAAGGGTCCTGAGCCGGCGCTATTGATGGGGAATAGACAGAATTCAGGTGAAGGGTGGAACCCAAACAGACAGACAGACATTCACAGAGGAATGTTCAGGGTTTTTTTTTTTTTAAGTCGTGTCTGACTCTTCGTGACCCCATTTGGGGTTTTCTTGGCAAAGATACTGGACAGGTTTGCCATTTCCTACTCCAGCTCATTTTACAGAAGAGGAAATTGAGGCAAACAGGGTTAAGTGACTTGCTCAGGGTCACACAGCTAGCCAGTGTCTGAGGCCAGATGAATCTTCTTGACCCAGTCCTGCACTCTATCCATCGCACCACGTGTGTTGGGGTGTAAGGGAAGGGTGGGATTTTGTGTTTGCTTCCATCTGCTCTCCCTGATTGGTGCCCCTTGGTTGACCACACCCATTGGCCCTGTGGCCCTACCCCCTCTCCCTAGCTGGGACCCGCCCAGTCTTGGATAGCCCTAGTTCCACCCTAGCGCTTTCACACACAGCTTCCCCTACCGGTCTTCTTCCCACCACCTCGCCCTTCTCACCCTGGTCCCCGAGGCTGTGGCTGTCGGAGGAGGAGGATTTCAAGGAGAGCACTGTGTCCCACTGGTTCTGGTCTTTCACCGGGCCCCGTGACTGGCCCTCAGACCAGCGAGGGAAGGACAGGTAGCCTGGGCGTGACGAGGACTTCCGAGGACTCCCCACGACCCTGGGTGGTTGAAGTTCTGGGCTGGTACATCTCGAGTGCTGCAACGGGGGCAGGAGAGTGAGAATGTCAGTCCAGATGGGAGGAGCCGATGTGGAGGGACTCTCTAATGCTAATCATCACCTCCCTCCCCAGCCCCATTCCCGTGCCCCAGCATGCCCTGCTCCTCCTCAACTCTCAGGCGCCCCTTGCCAACCCTGGAAGAAATAGTGCCACATATAACCTAAAACTAGGGAAGATCCATAAAGCAATCTACTTGGCTACAGAGTACCTCAGCAAATTTGTCTTCCATACTCTGTTGGGCTGAGACTAATATTAAAATAAATTGTAATACCTCTTCTGAATAATCACGGGTTATTGACTTGATTTCACATATTGTGGGCTAATAGACTGGAGTATTGTCAGCCAGAGCATCCCAGAGTCCAAAGGCTGAAAAGCTCTCAGCAGCCATCTGGTCCACCCCCTAACAGAAAGGAGCCCTCTCCTCACTATAACATTCCCGACAAAGGGTCCCTCAGCCTCTGCTTGAACACCTCCAAGAAGGGGGAACTCATCGACTCTCAAGGCAACCCATCCCACTCTCTGAGAACGCTAATTATTAACAAGTTTTTCCTGACATCAGGCATACATTTCCCAACTCCCACCCACTGTGCCAAATTCTGCTCCCAAACAATAAGTTTTATTCCTTTCCCCATGTTTTAACCCTTGAAATTCTTGCCGATGCCTGTCATTTCCCCTCAAGTTTTCTCTTCTCCAGACTAATAGCTCCATTCCCTTGAACATCACACTGCTGACTTTTGAGCCTGTGGTCCACTAAAACCTCCAGATCTTTTAAAGGAATTGCTAACAACGTTTACTCTATCTTTTACTTGGAAAGTTGATTTTTTTTCATCCAATGGGTAAGACTATAATACATTTAATTCCTCTGAAATGTCAAGCTATTAAATTTGGCCCAGTGTAGCCTGTCAATATCTCTTTGTCTCTTCACTCAGTCCAGTTCTTCAGAAGTTATACCTCTCAGCTTTGTGACAGACCTGACACAAAAGTATGCCAAATATGCCTTCATGAGGAAGTTGAGAAAGGAGGCACCATCCCAGAATTTAGTCCAGTTCTCTGCCAGTGGTTGCCTGATGATGGCTGGGGGTAAGGGAAGGATGAAGAGGGAGTTTGGGGAGGGGAATGAGAAAGAGGGATGGAGAGAGGAGGAGAAATGAGGGATAGAGAAGAGAGAGCTCAAGAGTGGAGGAGAGTGCCTGAGACACACAGAGTTTCTCCCTAGGATGTCCTCAATGCTATCTTTAATAGCTTTGTACTCAGGGCTGGGAGATGACAGGAAACCTCTTGGGTTTTCCTCCCACACTGCTCTCCTTTCACAAGCTTGTTGTTTCAGTCAGATTGGGATGCTGCCATTAGCTGTTTCTCCCCTCTGGGTCTTTGCTCATCATGTCCTCTGAAATGGATTCCCCACTGGCCCTTTCTATCTCTTAATCTTTCTTTGTCCAGGTCCCAGCTCAGGTACCACTTCCTCCATGAAGCCTTCCTCGATACCCTGCCCCCTTCTCGCCTGCCACTGGAAGTCATCTTTCTCTGTCACTGAATAGCTCATAGTACTTCGTTTGATCCTCTCAGAGGTGGGTGGGGCCTCAGAGATCACAGGATCATCAGAGATGATAGATTTAGAGCAAGAAGGGACCTTAGAAGTCACCTCAACCAATCCCCCCCATTTTACAGATGAGGACATTGAGTACCAGGTTGAGTGACTTCCCTGTTCATAGTCACAGAGTAGTGATTGTCAGATATAGCATTTGAACCTAGCTCCTCTGGTTCTAATCTCTTGTGATGTTGCCTTCTTAATGAGTAATTTTTTTGGAAGTTGTTTCCCCGGTACCTGGGACTCAGCCTGCCACAGGCAGGGCTCTGGAGCGAGATGGTCTAACAGGTCCTGCCCTTGGGTTTTCCGAAGGAGGTAGTTCCCTGCTATGATGGCGGAATCACTGGTGGTTGGGGTCCTGAGGCACGATTTGAGTTCAGGAATCTGGTTGGTGCTGTATGCTCGACGGCGCACAGAGTGATCTATTCATGGAGAGGAGGTGGGTTGGTGTTAGAGACCCAGGGAATAGGGAAGGTGAAATCAGAGGGATGAGTCCATCCTGGAGCCAAGCTATAGGATGTAAAGTTAGAGTCTGCAAACATATTAGAACCAGAGGATTTGGAGATGATCAGAGATCATCTAGGTCCATGCCCCTCCCCTCCCCCACATTTTACACATGAGAAAACAGAGCCTCAGAGAAGATGTTGGCAAGAGTACTGGCTATAGGGTCAGGAGACCTGGATTTGAATCCTGGCTCAAAGAATTTCTCCTGGTTTTACCATAGGCAAGTCTGAACTTCAGTTTCCCCTATCCATAAGAAACGCCTACATATATTCCAAGGGACAATGAAGAAAGTGCTTTATAAATCTCAAAACACTACAGAAACGTGGACCATGATTATTGAGAAGTATTAGGCCCTGAGGTCCACTAACTTTCATTTCTTATCTCATAGAGCTGCTTCCCTGGGCTATTTTTGCTGATAGCAATTGAGAGATATCATAGTAGGTCTACTGAGAGAATATGGTGACTTCCAAGATCTGGATGTTGGTCCTGATTGTTTGCAAACTAACTTGCTGTGTGACCTTGGGAAAATCATTTCACTAACTCTCTGGGCCTCAGTTTGCTCATCTGTCATATGGGAATAATCATCCTGGCCCTGACTATCTCATGGCATTGTTGCGAGGACTCAAAGAGATAGTGGCTGTTAAAGCCCTCCAACCAAGTTGAATGTGCCAATCAAATGAAAGGTAATAAATTACAATAACATCCCAGGTTGTTGTAGTTGATGTAGTCATCTCTGGTTACAAAATGAATGGGTTGAGTGCCTTCAGTGCTTGGGGCAGCCCCAGCACAGCAGATCATCCAACAGACCAGTGATTATTATAAGAACACCCTCTCCAGGTCTGGAATGAAGTGGGCAAGGCTGTGGCTGGGAGAGGCTTCAGTCTGTAAGCTAGCATTGATTAAGGACCTGCTATGTGCCAGACACTGGGTAAGTTGCTGGATTTCAAAACACAGACTATCAGAGACAGCAGGGCCCTTAGAATATAAAATATTAGAGCTGGAAGAGATCTTAGAACATAGAATGTTAGAGATGGAAGGGACCTTAGGACGTCAGACACGGAAGGGAACTTAGAACATGGAATGTTAATGCTGGAAGGGATCTCAGGATATAGAATAGTATAGACAGAAAGGACCTTAAACCTTAGAATATCTGGAAGGGAACTTAGAATGTGGAATGGTAACGCTGGAAGGAGTGCTTAGAACATAGAATGTCAGAACTGGAAAGTCCTTTAGAACATAAAACATTAGTACAAAGATCACTAAGAGATAGCAGGGACCTTAGGCAAGGGTGGGGAACCTGTGACCTCAAGGCCACATGTGACCCTCTAGGTCCTCAAGTGTGGCCCTCTGACTGAATCCAAACTTCACAGAACAAATCCCCTTAATAAAGGATTTGTTCAGTAAAACTTGGGCTCAGTCAAAAGGCCACACCCAAGGACCTAGGCCACACATGGCCTCGAGGCTACAGGTTCGCTACCCCTGACATAGAATGTCATATTTGAGCTGGAAGACACAGAATATTAGAACTCAAAAGCACCTGAAAGATTATCTAGTCCAGACCTGTCAATGTATAGATGAGAACAATGGGGTCCAAAGAAGGAAAACACGTCACCGAAGTTTACACTACAAGTTAGTGGCACAGCTGGAAGGGGTTTTTCTACTGACTGCCTCCTGGTGTTTTCCCAAAGATACTCCCAGGTTCTAAGACCTCTTACCCTCCTCCCCAACTAAAGATACACTTGGGTCAACCCTGCCCATCCCATCCCTCTTGCTCAGGGTCAAGCTGCCTAGGAAAAGGATGTGTCTATAGCACTGACCTTGAACCAGGCTGGCATCTCTGATGAAGACTGGTGTATACTGGCCCTTTTGGGATGCACTGAATGCCAGGGCCTCTTCGCTGCAGTCCCCACTCTCTGGAGCAGATCCCTTGTCCTGGGAATAGTAGAACACAGAGCTCTGGGAACCTGGTGCACTGTGATGATGACTCTGGCCATAGGGAATAGCAGGAGAGAAAACAAAGGTCCAGGGATTGGGAGAGAATCAAGGAGGAATTTCAAGTCATCAGGCGCCCTGCTCAGGCTACAATGCTTTAGCTAAAATCCTGCCTAAGGGCAAGACTAGATTAGCTTCCTTGTCCCCTTTCAGCCCTAGTGGGTCATGTCTTGGGGCTTCATCTTGGCCAAGGAGCTTAGACCCAGGAAAGTATCTGCACAGTGAATCTGGTGCCAACTTTGTTACTGTATCATCACTATCACCTCTTAACTCATTCAACACCCCAATTAAATGGGGCAACAATCTGTCCCACCCCACCCCGGGACACCTTGTACTTTCTCTTCTACATGCTTTTGCTTCTTCCATTTCTTATGCCTTTTTTCTTCCCTTCTACTGAATCCACCCCTGTAAAACCCAGCTTAAATTCCATGTCCTCCGTGAAACTTTCCCTAATCCCAGGTGTTGGTTATGACTTTTTTTTTAGACCTCACCCAGAAATGTGTTTATGGTTCCCTAACACTGTGACAAGTGTGGAATATTGTACATAACTGTACATACAGGATGGAATGGAGTGGATAGTCTCCTTGGGCAGGTCTTCAACCTTGACTTGCAAATTGGACTCCTAGAATCTTGGAGCTGAAAGGAACTTCAGACATTATCTAGTCCGACCCATACTTGTCTGCATTCCTTCCTTGTCTTCTGCATTATGCAAAAACCTTTCCAATTCCATGTAATCACGTGATCAATTCCCCAATGGATAAACAAAGTTTATGAACAGGCAGTTTTCAGATGAAGAAATTAAAACTATCTATAGTCATATGAAAAATGCTACAAATCACTATTGATTAGAGAAATGCAAATTAAAACACCTCTGAGGTACCACCTCACACTTACGAGATTGGCTAATATGACAGAAAAGAAAAATGATAAACGTTGGAGAAGATGTGGGAAAATCAGGACACTAATGCATTGTTGGTGGAGTTGTGAACTGATCCATTCCATTCTGGAGAGCAATTTGGAACTATGCCCAAAGGGCAATCAAACTGTGCATACCCTTTGGTCCAGCAATACCACTAGTGGATCTGTATCTCAAAGAGATCATAAAAAAGGAGGAAAGGAGCCATGTGTACAAAAATATTTTCTGCAGCTCTTTTTATGGTAGCAAAGAATTAAAAATTGAGGGGATGCCCATCGATTGGGGAGTGGCTGAACAAGTTGTGGCATATGAATGTAACGGAATACAATTGTGGTATAAGAAAGGATGAGTAGGCAAACTTCAGAAAAACCTGGAAAGATTTACATGAACTGATGCTGAGGGAAGTGAGTAGAACCAGGAAAACACTGTACGTAGTAACAGTAACATTGTATGATGATCAACTATGATTGACTTAGCTCTTCTCAGCAATATTATGATCCTAGACAATTCCGAAAGACTCATGATGGAAAATGCTATCCACACCCACAGAAAGAACTGACGTATGTATGTATGAACTATTTTCACTTTTTGGGTTTTTTTCCCTTTTGTTCAGCTTCTTCTTTCACAAAATGACTAATATGGAAATGTGTTCAACATGATTGTACATGTATCACCTACATCAGATTGCTTACTGTCTTGGGGAGAGAGGAGGAGAGGCAAGGAGAAAAATTTGAAACTCAAAATCTTATGAAAATGAATTTGAAAACTATCTTGACACATAATTGGAAAAATAAAATACTATTAAAATGATCTTTTATCTTTTGTGATCACCTTGTTTAGCGACAGAATTTCCCCCTAGCCATAGCTTGAGAAGTACCTTATTGGGCTCCCTTCTGATTTCTTTCTTATGATGTGATCACTAATATTTAGGTCACATGTCCATTTTGAGTTTATTGCAGTACATGGTGTAAGATGTAGGACTAAACTAAATTTCTGCCAACCTGCATTCCAGTTTTCCCATCAGTTCTTGTCAAATGGAGTACGTCCCTCAAACAATTGATGCTCTCAGGTCTATCACCCTGAGTTGTTGAGCTCAGTTTTTTTCCTTCTGATTCACTGAAGCATGTACTTAGAACCAGAAGGGTCCTCAGAAGCTATCCATTCTAACTCCATCATTTTACATAGGAGGACATTGAGACCCAAGAGTTGAAGTGATTCATATAGTAAGGTCGTGTAGGGACAGAGGTGGGATTAGAGCTCAGGTCTTCTGACTTTAAATCCAGGGCTCTCTTCCTACTCTGCCATGGCTCCTCCTTATCTAGTCTGAACCTCTGATTGACTTTCCTATTTATGTCATTGTATATTTCAGCAGGAATCCCCTCAATCACATCTAGCAGGGCAATGTGTTATAATGTCAAGAACACAGGATTTATAATTAGAGGAACAGAGTTTGAAACCTGCAGCACTGCTACCTGTGTGAATGTAGGCAAGTTAAAACTTCTTAGGACCCAAGTTTTCTAGTCTATAGAACTGAGGGAATGGTTGGACAGGCTGAATCTCTGAAACACCTTCCAGTGCTAGATTTCAGATTCCCAACAAGTGATCTTCCCATTTCTGCTTTGGAGAGTTCCAATGATGAGGAACTCATGAGTTCCCAAGGTAGCTCATTCTGCTGTGGCACAGTAAATTGTTAGAAAGTATTTCTTTACAACAAGCCTAAATTTGATTCTACAACTTCCACCCTCTGTCCACAATCCTTTCTGGGGGCAGGGAAAGAAGCCTAGTAATAACTGATATATCTACAAACTCTTTAAAGCGTTGCTGTTGTTTGCCCTTTGTTTTCAAAGAGCACTTATGACAACCTGGGACAATATATTGACTGGTACATGAACCGGATTTAAGTGAGACAGAGTTGCACAAAGTCGTCAGCCACACTCTCTCTTCCCGAGTCATAGAAGTCCAGTGGTAGGACAGAAGTCAAGACAACGGGCCGTGGCCTGGGCTGCTGTGGGATTACCTTAGCACCTTCAATGTCTGACCGAGCTCTAAGCTCTCCACAGCACCTGCTTCAGCTGCCTTCATGTTGTTCTCATCTTTCCACCAGGGGAAGTCTTCAAGTGCTTGGGGTAGACACCCCGCTGACTTACCCAAAAGTCTGAGACTTGTTGGCTACCCTCCACCTGACTTAGCCTGTTTGCAAAGAGGTAGTATTGGGTTGTGGCCGCTGTGATGCTGTAGCTTCTTGGAGCTACAAGTGAGAAAGTTGGTTGGTGGGGCGGCCACCAAAGATGGGTGAGCAGGCCTGAAAAGCATCTGTCACAGAAGAGGTGTTACTCCTCTTAGGAGGACTCTTAGAACACCCCATCCACTGTACATCCATAGTATACATACATAATGCTCACAGATATAAAGGTTTACATAGTCACCTTCCCCATTTCCCTACTACCACCTCAGGTCAGGTCCTCAGTATCTCTTGACTAGATTCCCTTTCATATTTCTTTCTTTTTTTTTAGGCAATTGGGGGTAAGTGACTTGCCCAGGGTCACACAGCTAGTAAGTGACAAGTGTTTGAGGCCGAATTTGAACTCAGGTCCTCCTGACTTCAGGGCTGGTATTCTATCCACTGCTCCACCTAGCTGCCCCCTAGATTCCCTTTCTATTCTAGTCTGTACATACATCTCTTCTGCCAAAAGAATTTTCCTTAAGTGCAAACCTGACCATATGCCTTCTCTACTTAACCCACTCCAGAGGCTTTCTATTGTCTCTAGAATAAAAATATAAAATCCTCAGTTTAACTTTCAAAACCCTAAAAAAAATCTGATCCTCAAACTTTTTTATCCTTATTGGTCTTTATTTCTTTGTCTGTTCTCAGTGACTCAGACAAACTGGCCTTCTCTTTGTTCCTGATTCATGACATTCCATCTCCAGGTTCCACGTCTTTGTACTGGCCATGCCCCACGCCTGGGATGCCATCCTCTTTCCTTGCCTTCACCTCATAGAGTCTCACTCTTTCTTAAGATGAAGCTCAGGCACCACCTTCTGCATGAAGACTTTCCTGATCTCAGATTGTAGCCCTCACTGCCAAAGAACCTTAAATTGAACTACTTTGTGTGTATATAAGTGTGTGTATATACACACACACACACACATATATATATATATATATATATACACACATACATATGTATATATATATATATGAACTTTATATTTGTGCATATATTTGTTATAATCCCTGTTACTCATTGCTAGCAAACATTGTCTCATCCTTTATATTTGTATCCTCAGAGCATACTACTGGGCCTGGCACATAGTAGATACTCAATAAATATTGGATGATTGATTTTCTTTTCTTTTCTTTTCTTTTTTCTTTTGGCTAGGCAATGGGGTTAAGTGACTTGCCCAGGGTCACACAGCTAGTAAGTGTTATGTGTCTGAGGCTGGATTTGAACTCAGGTCCTCCTGCCCCAACTGATTTGATTTTAATCATTTGATCCTCACAATGACCTTGGGAGGCAGTTGCTATTATTGTCCCCATTTTACAGATTAGAAAACTGAGGCAAACAGAGGTTAAGTGACTTGCCCAGTGTCACACAGCTAGTAAGTGTCTGAGGCTGGATTTGAACTCAGGTCTTCCTGAGTATAGGCCTTTTCTCTATCTGCTGTACCACTTAGTTGACCCATAGTTGTAAAGCTAGTAAGGGACAGAGCATGGATTGGAACCTGGGTCCGTATGATCCCTAGACCAGTGATCTTCCTAGTACTCCACAATGACTCTAGCTCCTCTTCCTCTCTGGGACAGCCTCTCTTGCAGTGATGTACTGCAAGACCAGGTAATGCTTGTGTTTCTGTCATGGCTAAGTGACCTCTATCCATGATCAAAGGGCAGGCAAGACTCCCTCCTAGAAGAGAAGGAATGTTCCTTAAAAACCAACCAACTAAACAGAATAAGATGAAACAAAACTGGAAGGGCTTCAATTCAAAAGCAAAGAAAGAAGTTGCTGAAAAGGAAAAAAGGAAATCCTGATGTATGTCAGGAGTTTGGAGGGCAGAAGAACATGATGCAGAGGAGAGACTCAAGAGGGATGCTGGAACATCTGAGATTAACAAACAGAAACAAGCTGTCTCTTCTCTAAGCAATGATGCCATGGATCTACAAGCACTATCAGATGGGAGACCCAGGAAAGGGCAGAGGAAGAAGGGACAATAAGTGGGGGCTGATAATCCTCTCATGAGCAATCCAGAGGTAGAGAGGTCTGCCATCTTCTTGGGCTATGCATCCAAAGTATGACAGAGAACCTCCCAAGACTAGACAAGAAAAATAAATAGTAACAAATTCTAGTGATTCATGTGGGGAAAATGATAATGATAAAGAAATCTAGAAAGAATTTCTGAGGATTATAAAGTCTTGGGCACGTAGCTGGACACTTTAGGGATATAAATTGTAGTTTCTTCACTGCTGACTATTTAAGGCATGGGTTTTAAAAGAGAAAAGCAGATTTGGGAAGTGAATAATTGGTCACAAAAGTGGTGACTGGGAAGGGGATTTGGATTTCTGAACCACAGCATAAAATATAGGAATGACATGCTCTTGACTAAGGATGGAGCATAACTAAAAAAGGTTGGTAAAAATGTGTTTGTCTATGGTCTTGCAATTACAACCAAAAGAGCTTTTCATTGAACATGATGGAGAGGAACCTGCATCAAAATAGGCTCTACAGGGTAGGAAGAAAAAAGAATAGTAGTAGAGGTATTCACAAATTCACAAAGGACAAAATCCAAGGAATAAACCAACGGTATAGTCCATGGTCTCAGATGACTTCACAAAAGTACATGAAGTGTGAGTAACAAGCAAAAGAAATGAGAGATGCTAATGCATTGAGGAAAAACAGACTTCATTGCCATCACTAAGATATCTTGGTGGGACGTGATCTCTGAGTGAATTATGGATGGAAGGACATACCTTATTCAAAAGGAACAGGGTAGATAAAAGGGGGAAGACATTGAATATTAAGAAGAAATTTTCTGTGAGGAAATACAGGAACTAGAGGTGGGGCACATGGTGGAAAACAATCAGGTAATGATCGACTGGATAAACAAAAATACTGTTACTGGGGTATACAACAAGATCATTGAGATGGGAAAAAAGAAATAGACGAGGAGTCTGGGAAACAGATCATAAGCCTGCCAAAGTAGCGTGATACAGTGGTGATAAGGAGCATCAATGAGCTGGACACCTAGCTTCTGGAGTTTTCTGTCTGGTTTAAGTAGAACAGTTAATGTTTTATTGACCAATTCATAATTTCATCCTTCGAAAGGTGGAAGAACCAAGGGTGAGAACGTCTAATCGAAGGTTGATCTGTACTGAAAAGGATGAACTGGTTGCTGGAATCAATGCAATGGGAACCTTGAAACAAAGTTAACTATTTGAGAAAGAGGAGAAGAAAGCTGTACATAGGTTGCCATGCATCCTGAATTTTAGTAGAACAGGGTTCAAAGGAAGTGATCCTCTCACTCATGTCTGATTTGGTAAGACTACATGTGGTATACTGTGTTCAGTTTTGGGTGCCAGAGTCAAGGCAAGACCTACTTGGAGAGTATCCAGAGAGGTCAGTTAAGAGGATGCAAAGCCGCAATTAGGATCATATCATATGATAACGATGTGAAAGAGCTGGGGATGTTCATCCTGTAGCAGAGAAGACTTAGAGGAGACATGGAGCTACCAAGTATTTGAAGGACGGTCATATGCAAGAGGGATTAATTTTGGGGTTTTTTGGCCCCAGAGCTAGAAGCAAATGGTAGAAGTTGCAAAATAGCATATTTAGACTTGGAATAAGAAAAAATTTCTAACTATCCTAGCCATTCAAAAGTGGAATAGAAGGTCTTAGAAGGTAAGGAGGAAATGGGTTTCCCAACTCTGAAGGTTTTTAAGCGAAGGCTAGATACTCATTAGATGTAGGGGGAATTCTTGTTCATGGCTGGGTTTTACTAGAAGGACTCTGAGGTCCTAACTCTAAAATTCCATAATTAAAATTTTGAAGACAAATATTGATTTGGGAAAATGCAGGGAGCCAGGAATGATGGGGGGTTTCCAAGCGTCGTATCAGAGCTAGAAGAATCTTAGTGATAATCTAGTCCAACTCTATCTTTTCAAAGATCAAGAAATCCAGACCCAGAAATAATAGGTGAATTACCCAAGATTGCAGCATAGAGCAAAGATTCAAACCCCATTCACCCAATTCCTAGTCCTTCTTTCTCTTCATATCTTCCATTGGCATCCATAGCTCTCCTAAGGATTTGAATTGGTCTGACTTCTCCACCCTCAGTTTTGTGTTGAATGTAAACAGTTGTACTGAGGACTAGGGCAGAAGGAGTACTACATCCAGGTCAAAGAAGAGTTGTCAAATCATAACATTTTCCCATCTGTACCTCTGGCTACTTACAACTCTGGAGCCGGGATGGTAAGTACAGTTACACATGATGCCATAGCCCACCAACCGATCTCCAGGGAAGAGGGAGCTGGAGTTGATAGGTGAGATTAGGACTTCCATGCTCTCTGGAAAATTCCATTCCACACTGACATCACTGAGAACAGGGGCCATGGCCTTCTTCAGAGACTTGATCATCTGTAGGAGGGAAGGAGCAGAAGCCATATTCAAGGGCATGCATGGGCATAGAAACTGGCAAGGGATATGCACAGGAAAAAAGAAGGCATCATTTTGGGAACAGAATACACAAAATATGGGGGTGTGATGATGGAAGTGGCAGCAAGGATCTTTATGTGTGGATATATCTTTCTTAGAGCGAGAACAGAGTATGTAAGAATAGGAAAGGACCTTAGAACTTTAACTATCAGAGCAGCAATGGGCCTTGAGGCACAGAATGTCAGCACTGGGGGAGATTGTAGAACATAGGATGTCAGAAGTGGGAAAGATCCTTAACACAGAACATCTAAGTAGTAGTAGACCTTAGAAGATAGAACGCCAGAGGTGGGGGAGACCTTAGAACATTAGAGCTAAAATGGGCCTTGGAATATCGAATATTAGAACAGGTAGGGATATTAGAAATCATCTAACCCAAAGCCTTCATTTTAATGAGGAAGATATTGAGGCCAAGAAAAGTGAAATGATTTGTTTAAAATCAGCTAGTTAGTGGCGGTGTTAGAATCAGAACTGAGACATTGGGACTACTGGTCTCTTAGGTTCTTTCCATGACATCACACAGACTTTAGCTCTGAGGATGTCACCAAAATCTGGAAAGCTTTCACCTGCTTATCTGTTACCGTGGAAATTTATCCAGAATGGTACCTATCCATCAACTAATTGCATGTGTAGTAATCTCTTGACCCCCCCACCTTGGGGCATTCTCATTGGAATTACAGGCAAGTACATGGAAGCTTGGGGCAGGCCTTCTCCAGTCTTGGGTGTTAGAGAGGCCCTTATCCCCACTTCAGACCAGGCATGGGCATTCTCAAATGACTTCTTCTTGGTCAGGATGACTCAGAGGTTCCCACTGCATTGTGATGAAGTCTTTTATGTAGCTACTGAGGCAGAACTACCTGGAGGTAATAAGGGGAAATCTTAGCCCCTAGCCCTCTTTTTCTTGGAGGGAAGGGGCAGGCTGTTGGATTGAGGATGGGACAGCAGTGAGCTGCATTCTCCCACCTGGCTACCACGTGTCTGTGAATGCATGGCACCTCTGTTCTTTTTGTTTCTCTTGTATTTATTCCTTTCTCATCTTAGATAAGTGAGTGAGAAGATAGAATTGACCAGATTTTGACCTGGTGTGGTGAGGTCCATCCGGACTCAGTAGTAAGGACTTTCAGAGTATCTGTGTTCTATAAAGTTTCAGACCGATTGACCAAAGAAACAAATCATCCACTGGGGATCACTGCCTTCAGTGAACTTGGTGGGTACTCTTCAATGAGGGAAAAGGACTCCTAGGCTTAGATGTTGCTAAATGACCTTTGACCCAATATGTGGTCTACATTTGTGCCTTAGGTTTGAGCCCATTCTCCCTAGGGATTGAGATTGTGCACAGGAGAGAGTACAGCCTTAGTTTGGGGGAATGTTTCATAACATGTCAACTGACTGACTGACACTGGTGGAGAACACATGATAGGGGCTCGTGAATGACGGCATTTAAGAGTCACTACTCAAGGTTCTCCTTAGAGCGTGGAGGGGAGCAGTGGTCATCTCCCTTTTGCAGATCCAACCTGCCAGTGTGAACTGAGAAAGTGAGGGCAGAGGGGATACTCCATGTGAGAGCTCATTAGGGATGAGTCTGGCTCCTCTGCATTTGTAAGGACCAGCTGAAGAGATTCTCTACCTAGGACTTTCATTATTGAATACATAGCCTAGTTTCAGGGATCCATTGAGAGGGGCCTTAGAACATAGACGTTAGAACATTCTCAGCAACTTCATACCAAAACAGGGAGAATAATCCTTGTTCTACTGACCTCTTGGAGAGTTTAGGAGGGAGCTAAGCATTTGATTAGAGGCTAAATGCAATAGTATTTGGAAGAGTGAAAATTGGGGTTGTTATTGTCACTCAGATGGCTGAGCCAGTCTCACGTGCACACTGACCCTCAGTATCTTCACTTGAAAAATGGGAATGAGAATCACCAAAGGCTGCCCCAGGACCTTCCCTTCAGAGAGGAGAGATATCTGCCCCATCCTCTGAGCTCCTCTGAAGGAGTTGACACCCCCTTCATCTAAGAAGGTAGGCTGCCTGGTAACAATAGGCAATTGGTCTGACAGAATGGCCTGAGAGGAGAGAAGGAGAGAGTGGAAAGGATAGAGTGGAGAGGATAAGAGAGATGAGGGAGGTAATGGAGCTCGGGGTCATGGTGGCCCTCCAACTTACCTTGGGCTGGAGTCTTTCTCCTTGTACCAGGAACTCTGCACTGCCTTTAGACACAGCTGCCAGCCCCTGCACCAGCCTTGGACAGGCTTTTGGACCAATCCCAAAGCTATAGCACCTGTTGGAGATAGAAAGGGAGGAGTGAAGCTGTAATTCCTACTTCCTCCCTTTTCTCCCTACCACTTAGGGAGAATCAAGCAAAAACCTCCCTGGAAGAGAACCTTAGGCAGACTTTGACTGCAAAAATTTTTACTTTAGCACTAAATCATGTGTAAGATTAAAACAAAATTTCTCAGCACCAGATACACATCTCTCTAATTTTCCAAACCAAAATATCTGCTCCTCATTCCTTGGTATACTATCTCTCAGATTCGAATGTAAGCTCTTTAAGGGCAGGGGCTGTCTTTCAATTTTGTGTTTGTATCCTCAGTTCTTAGTACAATGCTTGGTATATAGTAAGTCCTTAGTCAATACTTTTAAGTTAATAAAATCATTCATTCATTCATTCATCTAGCACCCCCTATGTAGAAATGCAAGAGCAAAACAGTCCCTGATCCCAAGGAGCTTACATCCCACAATTTAATATACATTGAATTTACTGAATGAGCAGAATACCATCAAAATCTAGATCTTCCCTGTGCATTTTCAGGACTTCTCTGCCTGGGCTTCCCAGAACTTGTCTTTCTAAACAAGCCTGGATCCCACTCCCCCACCCCCTCCTCCCAACTAACCTGGTGGTGAAAGCATGGCTTCGTATCAACTCCAGTACTTTCCCTGTGTTGCTGACTGAGCCGTCTGTGAGAAGGAAGAGTAGGCGTGGGTGGCCTACATGTATGGGCTGCCGGGTGACCCACTTGAGTGGGGACAGGATGTTGGTGCCACCCATGTCAGCCCGAAGATGCTGGATGTTTTCACATGCAGCAGTCAAACTCTCCTGAAAGGCAGGAAGAAGAGAGAGATTCTCTATAGAGGGAGACAGAGACAGAGAGAGAGAGAGAGAGAGAGAGAGAGAGAGAGAGAGAGAGAGAGACAGACAGACACAGAGACAGACACAGAGACAGACACAGACACAGACACAGACACAGAGAAAGAGACAGAGGCAAAGGCAGAAAGACCTTAGCAGTCAACCAAAGGTTGATCATTTCCTAAGACTCTTGGAGACTGACATATAGATTCTCCCTGGCTTCCAAGACTTTTCTGGTCTTTGGGACCAAAGTCTACCTTTTCCATAAGCAGATTCATTGAATCATTGGATCATAGATTTACACCATGAAAGGAGCTCAGAGATAATCTAGCCTCCCTCACAATTTACAGATGTAGAAACTGAGGCCCAGAGAAATTAAGTGCTTTGTCCAAGGTCACTCAGATAATTTGTAGGAGAGATGGGATTTGAAACCAGATTCTCTGACCTGAAGTACCATGTCCTTTTCACCATACTATGCCACCTCTCTTATGTTAGAATATTAATATGGTACATTAGTACAAAGAATGTTAGAACACAGATTGTCCCACAAGAAAGACACCTTAAGAAAGGCATAGCCCAACAACTTCATTTTGTAGATGAAACTGAAGCCATGAGAAGTGAATGGTCTTGGTAGAGACAGAATCAGTAATCAAACCCATGTCCCCTGATTCTCAGGCCAGTGTTCCTTTCTTGTGGGGAGTGGTCAGACCTCAGCTGTGAGGCAAGGACAAAGACAAAGCAGATTCTTGCCAGGAATAAAGCACCTTCCTTTACCAACCAATTCTTCTCCTGAGAGAAGCCTAGAAAATCCCACCTCTTTCAATCAGGAACTCTACTGCTTCACGCTCTCAAGCTATCATGTGCCCCCAGTGGCCAGGTTGACAAGCTGACTCAGAAAACTTGGGGGATGGGAAACATCAGCTAAGTTTCCTCTTTCTTCCAAGGCTTCTCCTCCAGAAGAGCTTGGAAGCCAAGATCTGATCCAGACCAGGGTCAAGAGGATCAGGTCTCTGAGCTGTATAGAGTAAGAGAGAGATAGAGAAGTTGTCCCAACAGCTATCATCAAAATCTCTTGGACTTATCTGGGACCTTTAAGACCCTGTGAGGCATGTTTCTGGGTGTGGAGGCCAGTATTCCCTCCTCTCCAAAGACCCCCCCCCATCTGCCTTCCTCTCCACACTATTCTTAATACTTGTGGCTCTTATAAGCTGGGTGACATTGAGCAAGTCACTTTAACTCTCTCAGTTGCATTTTCCTCATCTGTAAAATGAGGCAGTTGGACTGGGTGATTTCTAAGTCCTTGCCAGCTCCAAAGTCTATTGCAAGACCATTCCTGTCTCAACCATTCTGTGTTCCTTACAGATCAGCATCCTGTGGTCCTTCGGCCCCACGACCCTTCCATGCTGTGCCTTGATGCAGCTACACTGATTGTCCACCCCACCTCCCCCCAGTTATCACGTGTCAGGCCCCACGTGGCTCACATTTGTGCATTGCTTTGTAGCTGACAAAGCATTTTATACAGATTATCTTATCTCATTATATGCTCACCAAATAACCCCCATGAGTTTGGCAGGCAAGTATTAATGTCTTTGTCATACAGGTGAGGAAGCTCAGGTACAGAGTTCAGTGACTTTCCTAAGGTCTCACAGTGAGTTGGTGGCAGAGCTGGCACTGAAACTGAGGTCCAGGCCCCATTTTTGGTCCATGACATCCCAGTTGCCTCACTTGGCCTAGAACTTGTGATGGAACTTCATGTATGTAAGAATGAGAACAACCTCATTTAAAACGGACAGAGCCAGTAGGGCCATGAATTTGAGGACTATACAACTTTCAACAGTTCCCTCAAAAACTCAACCCCAGCACTTGACTTGTGATCACAGATTTAGAGTGGGAGGCAACTTTAAAGACCATCAGGTCTAGTCACCTCATTTTTCAGATGAGGAAACTAAATTTCAGAAAACTTAATCTACTTGCCCGGGGTCACACAGCTGGTGTCTAAGGCAAGATTTGGACTCAGCTCTTTTTGACTCTATGTCTATTTATTGTGTTACTTAGCTAAAATAGCTCAGACCAAGTCAAGTCAAGAAGCATGTATTAAGTGCCTACTATGTGTCAGATACTGTGCTAAGCACTGGAGATGCCCAAAAAAAGCATGAAAAATTGCCCTTGCTCTCAAGGAGCTTACAAAGTCCTTAACATTCAGGTCTTCTCCTCTCTTCCTTACTGTTCAGTCTGGTGGGGGTCAGTCGCATTGTCTCTTACCTCGCTGTAGACCTGACTGGAAGGGAATAAGGTCTTAAAGGTGGAGCCAAACCCAATGATGTTGAACAGACACGTTGGCATGAGACTCTTGAGAATGAGTACCAAGGCATCCTGGGTAGGGAAAAAAGGGCTGTTAGAACAAGAGATAGAGAACGTTGTGAAATGCAAAATGGATGACTTTGACGACATTAAATTGAAAAGTTTTGCACAAACAAAACCAATGCAACCCAGATTAGAAGGGAAGCAGAAAGCTTCCATTTTTTTTTCACAGCCAGTGTCTTTGATAAAGGCCTCATTTCTAGAATATACAGAGAACAGAGTTGAATTTGTAAGAATACAAATCATTCCCCAACAGAGAAATGGTTGAAGGATATGAATAGGCAGTTTTCAGTGGAAGACATCAAGGTTATCTATAGTCATGTGAAAAAATGCTCTGAATCACTTGGTTAGAGAAATGCAAATCCAAACAACTCTGAGGTACCATGTCACATCTATCAGATTGGCTAACATGACAAAACAGGAAAATGATAAATGTTGGAGAATATGTGGGAAAATTGGAACACCAATGCATTGTTGGTGGAGTTGTGAACTGATCCAACCATTCTGAGGAGCAATTTGGAACTATGACCAAAGGACTATAAAAATGTGTATGCCCTTTGACCCAGCAATAGCAGTTCCATCCCAGAGAGATCATACAAATAGGAAAAGGACTCACATGTACAAAAATGTTTATAGCAACTCTTTTTGTGGTGGGCAAGAATTGAAAATTGAGGGGATGCCCATCAATTGGGGAATGGCTGAACAAGTTGTGGTATATGAATGTAATGGAATATTATTGTGCTATAAGAAATGATGAGCAGGCAGACTTCAGAAAAACCTGGAAAGACTTGTATGAACTGATGCTGAGTGAAATGAGCAGAACCAGGAGAACACTGTAAACAGCCACATTGTGTGATGACTGACTTGATAGACTTAGCTTTTCTTAGCAATGCAAGGATCTAAGACAACTCCAAAAGACTCATGATGAAAAATGTTATCCACGTCCAAAGAAAGAACTATAGAGTCTGAATGTATATGGAAGCATACTATTTGCTCTCCTTTTCTTTTGTTATTTTGTTTTGCTTCTTCTTTCTCATGGTTCCTCCCATTAGTCTTAATTTTTCTTTATATCATGACTAATGTGAAAATATGCTTAACATAAATGTATAAGTAGAGCCTATATCAGATTGCACTCTGTCTTGGGGAGAGGGGAGGAGAGAAAGGGGGAGAAAATTTAAAACTCAGAATCTTATGGAAGTGAACATTGAAAACTAAAAATAAATAAATTAATTATTAAAAAAAAGAACTTTGAGGGTCAGTGTCTGGCTGACATAGTTTGGACACAGAATAGCCATCCTTCTGTCCTTTCATTCCCAACAGTTTGTTTCCCTCCCTCAGTTCAATAGAGGAAACAGTTACTGACAATGCCAACTGTCCAACAATGGAATGGAGTACTCTTGCCTTGGCATGCTAGTGAGTACCTTGCCACTCAATATAGTCAAGCAGGGAATAGGATTGCAGAATTTGGGGAAAAGCTAGACAAAAAGTCATCTTCAGTCCCTTCCAAATCTAATAGTTTAAGGCTCTAAAGTGCTAGTGTTCCAAGATTCCATGGTTCTAGGAGTCTATGATTTTAATGGTAGAATATTCTATAATTCTAATGTCCAGGACACTGTGATTGTCAGGCTCTAAGAGCCTCTGGTTCTGAGATGATAAGGTTCAAAGAATCTGAGATGTTAATGACTCCTATCTAGTTCTTCAAATACTTGAACATAGCTATTGTGTCCCTCTTGCACTTTCTTTAGACAAAACACTCCAGTTCCTTCGATGGATGCTCATCTGGTATGATCCCACAGCTCTCCGCCATCTTGGTCACCCTCCTCTGAATGCTTTCCAATTTATCATTTATCATTTTGAACACAATTCTTCACATGTGATCTGCCGAGGACAGAATATAATAGGACTATCACTTCCTCTTCCTTCCTGGACAATATGCTTCTCTTAATACTAAATGCATTAGGTCTTTTACCCGCCACATCATGTCAATTTCATTGACTCAGATTGAGTTTGGAGTCCCCTAAAACTCTAGGATCTTTTTCAGATAAACTGCTGCTTAGCCAGGTCTCCCTGAATCTTATGCTTGATTTTTTCTTTTTTTAAATTAATTAATTTATTTTTATTTTTTGACATTCACTTCCACAAGATTCTGGGTTTTCAATTTTATTTCCCTCCCTTCTCTCCCCATTTCCCAAGACAGCATGCAATCTAATATAGGCTCTACATATACATTCACATTAAACATATTTCTTTGAAAAGAATTAGAACCAATGGGAAGAACCATGAGAAAGAAGAAACAAAACAAAACAACAACAAAAAAAACAGAGCAAATAGTATGCTTCCATCTGCATTCAGATTCTGTAGCTCTTTTTCTGGATGTGGATAGCATTTTCCATCATGAGTCCTTTGGAGTTGTCTTAGATCCTTGCATTGCTGAGAAGATTATGTTTGATTTTGTGAACTTATACGTGTAAGACTTTCTGTTCATCCTTATTAAAGTTCACGTTGTTTTACACACATATGTGTGCATGTACATATACATACATATATACGTAATTTGAACCAACGTTTTAGCCTAGTGAGGCATTTTTTGAATCTCGACTGTGTCATTCAAAGTGTTGGCTATGTCTCCTAGCATTGTGTGATTTGCAAATTTGGTAAGCAAGCCATCTATTCATTTACTTAAGTCATTGATAGAAATGGTAAGGAACACATGATCCAGTGCAGGGACCTCCTTCCAAGGTGACATCTAAACCTTTCTGGCAAGACTTTGGGTACAGCCATTTAGCCAGTTCCATTTTCACTAAACTGCATCAAGCCTGCATCTCTTCTTTACAGAATAGCACATGACACTTTATTCAATGCCTTACTAAAATCTAGATGAACTATAATTACAGCCTTCCCTGATCAATAAGTCTAATAACCCTGTCAAAAAAGTAAACAATCATAACTAAAATAGTAATTTAACTAGAGCTTTGAAGTTTGCAAAATACTTTACAAATGCGATCTCATTTGATCCTCACAACAATCTGTGAGGGAGGTGTTATTATTATCCCCATTTTACAGTTGAGGAAACTGAGGACCAGAGAAATTGTGAGTTGTTAGAACATCTAATATCCAAACCTACTTTAAATCAGGATTTAGACCTAGGTCTTACTGATTCCAGGTCCAGTGCTCTATCTGTTACACCAGACTGTCTCCTTAAATAAGGTGAGTTCTGTAGGACCTGTTTACAATAATCAGTTCTTTCAAATCTCTGTAATATGGTTCCCCTTGGCCTGGACACTGGGACTCATAAAGTACAGCTAGAAGATCTCTTACCACTTCCCTCCCGATTTATCTTTAATTTCAATGTCTTATTAGCTGTTTCTGTTCTGCTTTTTCCAGTCCCTGCTGGTCAGAATCAGATCGTGAATTGAAATTCCCTTCCTTGGTTCTTCTGCCTTTTAAAGGATGAAATTATCATTAACATAAGCTAAAAAGTGATTCGCAGGCCTACTTTTGGCAGAGAGAGAATGCTGGAATATATGTGGAAAACTGAAAGCCTCGAGTACTATTATAAGATGCTGCTGTGTCAAGCTTGTGATGTTTCCTAAATTACCCCTTTATTTCCTCTTTCTATTCAGGTGGCATCTATGAATGAATGAATGAGTAGATGAATGAGTGAATGGCACTTACTGTACCACACACTGTGTTAACTGCTGGGGATACAAATACAAAAGCAAGACTGTCACGTATTTTGTCGATGATGAACATTCCTTTTTTCTCTTTGTCTCTACCCAAACACTCTTTTCCCCTCCTGCTTTGGAGGCAATCAAGGTTAAGTGACTTGCCCAGGGTCACACAGCTAGTGAGGCCGGATTTGAACTCAGGTCCTCCCGACTCCAGGGTTGGTGCTGTATCCACTGCACCACCTAGCTGCCACCAGATACTCTTCACTGTGCTTCTCCTCTCTGGTTCCTGGTTTTCTGCACATGAGCACATTATCGTTTAATGTACAACATTACTCTGCCCCCTCCCTACCTTTCTCTTGTTTCTTTTGAATTACATATATCCTGTAGTACCATGTTTCAGGCATAGGTCTCATCTCACAAAGTCTCAGTGATACCAATGAGGGCAGATCTGTCCCTTTGCTCTAGAATCTCTAGTCCATCTTTGTTAATTATCTCTACTTTGTGTATTTGTATGTAGACATCTAAGGCCAGTGGTTTTGGGGGCTGTGTCCTTCCTTAGATGTTGTCTCCTGTGGGTGTGCCTGCCTGCTGTTATTCTTTTTAAATCAGAGCTGTTCTCTAGGGTAGCTAGGTGGTGCAGTGGATAGAGCATGGGCACTGGAGTCTGGGGGACCTGAGTTCAAATCCAGCCTCAGGCACATAACACTTACTAGCTGTATGACCCTGGGCAAGTCACTTAGCCCCATTGTTATAAATAAATAAATTATAGCTGTTCTCTAGTGTAGCAAATTTGGTGGATGTACATAGGCAGTTCTCTCCCCAACTTCCTTTTCAATTTGAAGTCTTTTTAATTAGATCTCCAAAGTTCCAAACAAATACATTTTACCAGCCTTCAGTAATGTACTCCATTCCCGGAGCTTACCATAATTATATTTTAGACTATTATCCAGAAACCAAAATGCTAATCTCAAGCACCACCTTCTCAACCACATGTCCACTTCTCATATCCATCCTTCCCTTCTGAAGTCTGCATCTTCAATCCACGGGAATGGTGGAAGCATCACCAGTGCCATTAACATCTTAAGCTTCTTGCCCAAGACTTCATGGTTTTCAGTAATGCTTCCTCGATTCCTTCTAGTTGCGTTGTTTATGCCTACCTGAATCACCACAAGTGTATAGTAGTCATCAGGAGGACTAGCACTTCTGCTGTGAGGGCTTGCCAAGCCCTTTTCAGGATTGCTCATTCACCTTTGATGTCCACCTTCGCCCAACTCTCATCTTTGGTTCCAAGAAGCTGTAGCATGCACAGGAGCCATATCCTGGGGAAACCATCTAGGCAGTTGGGCTAAACCATGTTGACCATAACCAATGGGCCTCAAATCCATTGGTGAGTTAGGGGGATGTCTACCCCAAGCATGCGAAGACTTTCCCTGATGGAATGGGTGGATGAGAACAATCTGTTCCAATAGCCATGAAGGCATCTAAAGCAGGTGCTGTGGTACACTTAGAGCTAGGATAGACATCAAAGTCATCCCAGACGACTGTCATCTTGACTTTTGTCCTGCTGCTAACTTTGATGATTCAAGAAGAGTGAGGCTGATGACTTTGAACAACTCTGCCTCACTTAAATCCAATTCATGTACTAGTCAAGACATCGAGCTATGATGTCATTGGTCCACTTCAAAAATGAAGGACAAACAATAATAATAGCCATTAAATGGCTTGTAATGAGATCACCACTCTCCCTTTCATTACCCACTAGAAACATAATCCTTTTAGCCTTTTTAGCCCTTAGCTGGGATGTGTGATATTTGGGTGGAGGGAATGACTACTTTGCTAATTTTATATCAGCAATATGGTATGGTTAAAACAAAAGAAAACACTAGTCTGGAAATAAGGAAACCTGAGTTTAGTCCCTGCAATCGATATATTGCATTACCTTGGGCAAGTCACTTTATTTCATTGAGCCTCAATTTTGAAATCTATAAAATGGGGGAATTGGACTAGATAATCTCTAAGGTCCTTTACAAATCTAGTATTCCATGATCTGTGATCTCTTCCAGCTCTAATATTCTATATTCTAACATCCTCAAAGCTCTAACATTCTATTTTAACCATAGTCTAAATTCCATTACAGTTCCAACCTTCTGAATTCTAAGTTCCCTAATACTCTATGATCCTATATTTGGGGTGAAATTGAGGGAGAAGTTTCCCTACGTAGTTTAAACTGTGAATACCAGAGGCAAGGATAAATGCCTGTTTCCTACAATGGAACCTTGTAGCCATCCAAATACTAACTCAATCTTCTATCTTGCTTCAAAGCAGAAATGGGCCATCAATGGTCTTAGAGTTACACATAGCAATCTAGAGACTAAGAGTCAGTAATGAAGCATCAGGACGATATTCAGATCACGGTTTCCCTGGTTTCAGGGACCAGCAGATCTCTCTACCCCTATTCCCCACTGTCAATATTAACCTAAGTTTTCTCTCCATTTTTCTTCTTTGCTTGGGTCAATATATTCTATTTCTCCACCAAATAAGTCAATATCAGCACATTTTTCCATTAGACACTAATTTAACAGCAGCCTCTGCTGATTCATACATATTGCTTCTGCTCACACCTATTAGAGCTTTCCCCTCCCACCCAAGAATGTTTTTTTTTTTGGGGGGGGAAACAGTATCTGAAGAATAGGACAAACTGTTGGAAATCAAATTGGCTGAAAGGCTGTATAGGCTTTCCTCCTTTCCCTATTCCCATTCACTCCAACCTGGAAGTCCTGCCAGGAGGGACCACCAAGCTTTCCAGGGGTCCTCAGCAATTTACAGATGTAGTGAGTAGGATACTGGTCCTACTGACATTTGGCCATGACTTCTGTGACACTTTCTAAAAATGTCGCGTTCAGCCTGGGTATTCAATGTTCTTCATTGAATAAATCATTTTAACTTCAGTGAAATTAAATAGAAAGAATAAAGATATTGTCATCAAATCAGATAATGGACCTGGAAGATAACTTGGAATGTAGAATTTTAGATGTTGAGGGACATTAGAACATAGAATGTCGTGGAAGGGACCTTTGAGATCAGTTTGTCCACTTATTTTGCATGTGAGAAAACTGACATCCCAAGAAAGGAAGTGATTGTCCAAGGTTACGTAATTAGGAAATAGCAGAATGGAGAGATTTTAACTCAGATCTCGTCTCCCAATCCAATGTTCTCTCCACTAACTACATCCATGGTTCTCAAATGGTTAGGATGCCTTTGTACTCTTGAAAATTATTGAGGACTCTGCTCAAAGCACTTCTATTTATAGCTAACAGTATTGACTGTATTAGGAATTAAAACATTTTAATATTACTGTAAAAATAGATTTGACCTCATGGACTCCTTGAAAGGGACCAAATTTGAGAATCACTTCATTATACCACCACACCAAAATAATTTGGGAATCATGTTTCCTGAACATAGTGATTTGGCCAAGATGGAGGACTATTATCTGTGAAATAGAATATTATCTCTACCTTCTTCCATTCTCTTTCTAGGATGAATTTCCCTACATGATCTGAGGGACTATTTAGAACATGCTGTCCACTTCTAGCATGGTTGGAAGTTTTCTGAGGGAGTGCAGGGGCAAATTTTGTACCATGGACAGCTACCCAGGACTTTGATGGGTGGGGCAGGGCTTTCCAAAGCAAGAACTGTCAACTTTGAATCCTTTGGAGGAAGTAGCTGGTCCCAGAATAGCCAACTCTTTCTCTCTCTCTCTCCCTCCCTCTCTCCTCTCTAAATCAAGATTCTTTTGATTGTAGGACTCTGCAGTAAATCCACAGTAAGTCACTCTGTAACAGTCCAGTGTGCTGTAGTCAAAAAAGAAATGGATTTCAAGCAATAGGATTTTATGATAGTCAAAATTGAAAAAACATTAGAGAGCATATCTTGAACCCTCAAATCTCCCTCTCCCCCATTTTAGAGGTGAGTAAATTGCTACTTAGAGAAGTAAAGTCACCCATATAATAAGTAGTTGAGTTATGACTTAAGCAGAGGTCCTCCGACTTCAAATTCAATGCTTTTTTCATTATACTATAATGCCTTTCTCAAAAGAGATGGATTTGAATCCAGGCTAATTGTGTGAACTTGAACAAGTCACATATATTCATTGGGCTTTGGTTTCTTCATCTACAAAAATGTGAAGGTTGGACCAAATCTCTAATGTGTCTCCCAGCTAGGTAGGACAGTGGACATAGCACTGGACTTCAGCTCAGGAATACTTGAGTTCAAATTATTTAACTGTGCAAAGGTGGGTGAGTCACTTAAACTCTATTTGTTTCAGTTTCCTATCCTGTTAAATGGGGTAATAATAGCACCTACCTCCCAGCATTGTTGTCAAAATCAAATGAGGTAATATTTGTAAAACACTTTGCAGGTCTTAAAGTACTATACAAATGCTATTTTAATTATTCCACCTCTAAATCCTATGCTTGAAGAATAAAGTCAGGTAGAACCAGGCTTGATAGGAGGTATTTAACAAGGAGGGAACTTTCAGCTCAGGAGAAGGAGTATTTTTCCCTAAATCAGAACTGCATTGGCTGTTTCTCATGCCTGTAATGCTCTCCCTTTCTCCTAAAATGTCTCTGGCCTTCTTCAAGATTCATCCTAAATGGCACCATAGCCTTCCCCTCCAAAGCTGTCATCTATCTATTCAGTAGAGGCTATGTGGCACAGTGGAGAGAGCACAAGACTTGGAGTCCAGATGATCTGAGTTTGAATCTTGCCTCAAATCCTAGCTATGTGATCCTGGACAGGTCACTTAACTTCTTTTATGCCTCAGTTTCCTATTCTGTAAAATGGGGATAGCTATAGTAATTACAGGACTGTTGTGAGGATCAAATGAATTTACATGTAAAGTCTTTGCAAGCCTTAAAGCACAATGCAAATATTATTATTACGTGTCACATGTATCTTATTATTACACATCTTATATGTATCTATTTATTGACAAGTCTTTGAGGGGAGGGACCATGTTTTGGCCTTCCTTTGTATTTCCAGTGCTTAGCACAGTTCCTGGCATACACTAAGCATTTAATAAATGCTTGTTGACTGACAATGGAATGTCTCAAAGGATGGGAGCCCTCATCCCTGGAAGTGTTCAAGCATGGATTAGATGATCACTTGTAAGGGAGATTATAGAAGGGGGGGGGTCCTATTTCATGAAATGACCTGACTAGATGCCATTTGAGGTCCCTTTCAGCTTTAGAATGTTATGACAGCTACGTTTCTACCCATCAGTGAGGTGGTCATTCTATCATTATTGTGTTTGGAAATGGAAACAAAGCTGCTACTTATCACAAAATCCTGTTGGGGTTTAAAGGTTCTAGTCTCATTGTGTGTGTGTTTTTTTTAATATCAATAGTTGTTTTATTTACAATAGCAAAAAACCCCCAAAATTTCTAACAAAGTATAAGAAATGATTATGTTCACGTAATTGAATAATACTGTAAGTATACAATTATATAAAATGAAGCATAATAGAAAATGTGACAAGACATGAAGGGTTATTATTCAAAGAGATCAGCAAGATAATGACTGGATGTATATCGCCTTTAATGAGAAAATATTTGTAATCAAACATTTGTTATTTGTCTGTTAATTCCTGTGATTCTCCTTTGTAAAGTGCTATGAGCTTAGGTGATTTAATTAGTTAGGTGATTTAAAAAAAACATCTATAAGTTTTATTTATAATAGCAAAGAACCTGAAAATTTATAACAAAGCAGGAAAATAAATCCTGATATGTTCATGTAATTGAACAATACCGTGGATTTGATATCCTGTCAAATCCACCCCCAAGTTCACTGATACCTTGACTCTGTTGATGTTGCTTCCACTCATGCTTCCACTTCTGTCAATGAGGAAAATGAACTCTCCATGGGTCTTCCGAAGGCTTGACTGGGTTGGCTGGAGGTCAGGGCAGAAGTTGAGCATGAGCACTGAGTGATGAGGAATATCCTTGTGGAGCCGTTTCCGGATTATTTCCATCTGGAGGACAAAGAGAATAGCTGGTTTGGTGAAGCTAGCTGAGGGCTGGGGCAAACCCTCTGGAGCTTTATACCAGCCTTCTGCCTGTCAGTTACAAGTCAGTCAGCAAACACTGATCAAGAGCTCACAGTGCTTAGTGCTGGAGGAGATAGAGAATTTTGATACAGTGCAGTCTCGCCTTCATGGAGCTCCCAGTTTAGCTGGGGAATATGATGATGACCGCCATACACAGTATTACCTGATTGGAGGATCAGAGAGGTGCAAGGTAAAATGTCGTGTGAGGTTTGGGTGGGTGCATCACTAATTACTAACTAATTACTAATTACTAGAAGGTGGGATGAGGGAAGGGTTCCTGGAGAAGTTAGTATTCAATTTGAGCTTTAAAGGATGGGTAAAAAAAACCTCAAAAAATTAAAATAAAAAAAATTAAATAAAGGATGGGTCATAGAATTCAACAGGTGAAGACAGGGGAGGAGGGAGGGGGAGGAAGGCATGTCAGGTGTAGGAAACTGTGAGCAAAAGCCCAGAGGAGGAAAAAAACAGCATTTGGGGAGAACAGAATAGACCAGTCCGTGCTCTGATCAGACCCCAGTTTGGAGTGTAGCATGCCTACCAGAAAGTACCATGAAGGAAGAAGACACCTAACCCATGGCACCTGCCACCACTTGCCCACCAACCCACCACCTGCCTCCTCCAAGAAGTCTTTCAGGATTGACTCCACTTAACTTCCTTGCTTGCTGTCTGTCTTTGTATCTCTGTAGTCATTTTGTGTCTGTTTTTTTTCTGTGAGCGATCCCTGGTTGTTTCGTATATGGGTATATGATCTGTCCTTCGTGAGCTCCTTAAGTACAAGGACCATATCCCTCCTGTGTCTTTGTACCTTCCCCTTTTCTTGACTGTCAGTTCCTAGCACGGGGTTGGCCACAAAGCAGATGGTCTTGTGAAAAGCAGTGTGATATAATGAAAAGAATGCTGCACTTGAAGTCAGGAGAAACCTGGGTTTAGATCCCGGTTCTGACACTCACCATCCGCCTTGTCCTCATCTGTGAAAGGGGATATTAATTCTTAGAAGACCTGTTTCACTGGGTTGTTAGAAAAATCAAACGAGAAAATCCATCAGAATCTGAAAGCCCTATAATGAGCGTCCTCCATTGTCATTATGATCACACATCCACCCTTCAAAAGTCAATCAATCAACAAGCATATATTAAGTGCCTACTAAATGCTAGATATGGGGTTTTACTAATCATTTCTATTGCCCGGGAGATCCCCTCCTCCATGTCTTATGAGAAGTTTTTTTTTTTATGAGTTACTGTGACTGAAAAAATACCATCACTTGGTGTCCATCCCTCTGGAGATGTCTTCCTATGCTGGGGTAGGTGGCAGATACCCCTACTGTCATTGGGCCCATGACTGAAGCCTTCCCACCTTGGTGAGACCTGCCAGACATCTTACCTCTTGTGCTCTGCTAATAGAGCCTTTGAGAAAAGTTAGAGCTGTCCAAAAGCCAGAGTTTCTGGGCAGAATCACAACATCTCAGAGGTGGGAGGACTGCAGGGGCTATCAAAGCCTAGACCAATCAATACTTGAACAGTAATCTCCTCTATAATGTGTGCAGTGAGTGGACATGCAGCTTTTTGCTTGATGACATCCAGTCATCATTCTAGCTCTCATAGTTAGGAGGGTTTCCCTGATGTCAAGCTTGAACTGGCCTCTGAAACTTCTGTCTGTTGCCTCCTATTCTTCCCACTGGGGCCAAGCAGAACCAGACTAATCTCCATTCCACTGGACTTTCATTTAAATACCTGAATACATGTATCAATTCTTGCCCCACTCCTCAAGTCTTCTCTAGGCTAACTATGATCCTCATGGCATGAACTTGAGTTTTTCTTTGCCATGTTGGTTGTCCTTTTTCTGGATACTCTCCAGCTTCTTAGTGTCATTTATAAAATCGAGCCTAAGCCCAGAAATGAACCTGGTATTCTCGATATGGTCTGATGGCAGGACTGTCATTTTCCTAATTCTGGGCATTCCATCTCTCTTAATACAGCCTGAGGTTGTAATTGTTTCCCAGCTACCATGTCACATTATTAACTCATCTTTTGAACTTTCAGTCCACTATAGCCCTCTGATGTCTAGTCATGCCTTACCCCATTGTATAATTGAGACATTGATTTTTTTGAACCTAAGGATGGGATTTTACATTGATTCCTATTAAATTTCATCTTATCAATTTGGTCCAGTGTTGAAGATCGCTCTGGAAACCAACAAGTAAAAGGTGACCACTTAGCAGTGATCCCTGCTCAGATGGCTTCTGAGCTTCTTTTGAATTCTGAGACTCTATGATTTTGAGAATTAAGGGTCAACTCCATGTTATGCTGGGCCATCATTAGAAAGTCCCTTACTAAAGAATGAGGCTTATTAAATAGTAATAAGAGAGAGTATGACGTGTTCAGTTGAGGACTGGCTTTGGAGACAGGAAACCTGGTCTTTGACACACATTGGCTTGTGTGACCATGAGCAAGGCATTTAATCTCATAGTGCTGACAAGCAATTCAGTAAGATTCTAAGTTACAAGATTTTCAGTTTTCATTAGGGGAGAGAGTTTCCAAACCTGCAGTTTCCCACACTGGTGAAATCATAGGTCCAGATTTTAAAAAAAAGACTCATATTTACACAATACTTTTTGTACTTTACATAATTATCTCATTAGATTCTTATAACCATCTCATCAGGAAAGAAGGTAATGCACATTTAATTATCATCTTTTTATAGTTGAAGACATTAAGGGTCAGAGAAGTGAAATGGTTTGCCCAGCTGGGAATTGTTAAATCACCCTATGGATTGATAACCTTGAAGATTCTGAATTCTCTGGGCCTGATAATCTCTGCCCTCTTGCAACCCCCCCCCCCACCCAATCCGTGCCAGGAGAACAGCTGATTGAGAGCTGTATTTCTGCGGGGTCATGATACAGGGAGGTACAGTGAAAAGAACACTGGGTTTGGAGTCAGAGGACCAGGGTTTGAATCCTTATTCTGCCATTCACTGCCTGGAGGATCTAGGGAAAAGTCAATTCCCCTGTCTGGCTCTATACAGCCTCTTCCATAAAACGATAGCATTGGGTGAGATCCTCCCTCCAGTTCTTTTTGGCTCGGTCATTTTATGATACTCTTTGTTCATTCCCACCAGTACTGCCATTGCAATACTGTATTTCTCCCCAGTGTTTTTACCTATATTATTTCATTTGATGCTGACAATTCTGAGGATCAGGTGCTATTTCTATCCACAGATTTACAGATAGAAAAAATGAGGCTGAAAGCGGTTCCCCAAACTGCCCAGGGTCACACAGCCAGTGAGTGTCTCAGGCGGGCTCTGGAACCAGACCTTCCTGTCTCCTATCCACTGGGCCTCTCATGGCTGTTGAATGTTCTAAGCACACCTCAAAGTTCTGCTGTTCTGACATTCTATGTTTTTAGACCTCTTCCAATTTGGCCATTTTATGGTCTAAGGGTCCTTTCAGCTTTTGTATTCTTTCTGAGGTCCCTCTCAACTCCAACATCCTGTGCTCTAAGGGCCCTCCCTGCTCTGACATTCTCTATTCTAAGGCTTCTCCAAGCTTGAACATTTGACCTTCCAAGGGCCTTGCCAGCTCTAACATTGCATGTTTTAGCATTCCAGCTCTAACACTCTATGACTCCAATAAGAGTCCTCCATAGTCACAGTCACATCTGGTGGCAGCCCGTACTGTCCCAGGGAAGATTTTCTGAAGCAAGGAAGGTAAATGTGGCTTTTGAGGCAGGCCTGGCAGGGCATATACTGGGGAAGATTCTTAGTGTCTCCCTGCCATCCCTCTGCCATTATCCAATTACAATAAACTCATCCCATCCTCACCCCGGAGCTGGTTGATCTCTGCCAGCCCTGGAGCTAATGAGAATTCAATACATTTGCATAACCAACCAAAGGTGACAAATTAATTCACTTTTGAGGCTGAATTTCCTGAGCTAACTCATTCAAATAGCAGTTCAGGAGACCCAGGGGGTGCTTCCCCTACCCGTGGGCCAGGAATCTTCTGATGACCCAGACAACTCTGCTTGTACCCGGGGGTTGGAGTTTTGATGTGGGGAGGCTTGGGAGGCCTGGCTCTGCCCATCCACTTCTCCAAGGGAATCTAGCCTGGGGCTTTTCCAGCTGAGCCAGATAGTGCACAGATAAGATTTGGCCTCACTCTGGAAGAACACTCTGAAGTGTGGCTCCCACAGCAGGGATGAGATCTATTAAAGTCATTTGAAGCCACTGGCCTGTTATCCCCACAGTGGGAGTTTGCAAGATGGTGAGGGTGGGGTGGGGTGGTGGTCATGGTTGATGCCTGGGCCCAATAACTGGGCCGGTAGGGGGAACTGAACCCCTGACCTTGACTTCCTCAATGCTTGGCTGTAATCCCCACAACTATTTAGTTCATTCAATGTGTGTGTGTGTATACATACATACATACATATATATACATACATACACACATACTATCTGTATATGTGTATGTGCTATACATATATATGCATATTTATGCATATAAGCCCATTCATAAAAATAGTCTGTCTCTGTCTGTCTCTCTCTCTCCTCTCTGTCTCTGTCTGTCTGTCTCTCCTCTGTCTCTGTCTGTCTCTCTTTTGCACTGCAAAGTCTTAAATGTGATGGCCAGACTTGGTCCCATTTGATCGTCATGACAACCCTATGACAGGTTCTAATACTAAAAACAGTTAGTCTTGGGGCAGCTAGGTGGTGCAGTGGATAGAGCACTGGCCCTGGAATCAGGAAGACCTGAGTTCAAATCCAGTCTCAGACAAGACACTTGACACTTACTAGCTGTGTGTCCCTGGGCAAGTCACTTCACTCCATTGCCTTGCAAAAAAAAAACCAACCCAGCTATTCTTTATATAGTGTTTTAAAGTTTACAAAGTACTTTACAAATATTATCTTGTTTGATCCTCACAACAACTCCAGGAGGTAAGTGCTGTCATTATTCCCATTGAACAGATGAGGTAACTGAGGCAGACAGAGGGTTAAGTGACTTGCCCAGGATCCCACAGTGAGTAACTGTCTGAGGCCAGATGTGAATTCAGGTCTTCCTAAATCTGGGTCTAGCACTCAATCCACTGGGCCCCTTAGATATTACAAGTATTACTTTCAGTTTGTTACTCTTGTTATCATTATATAGAGAGGCAGTATAGTGTGTTGAATAAAGAACCAGTGTCAGAGTCAGGACAACGTAAGACTGTGTCTGACATTGACTGGCAAGTCATTGAACCTCATTACACCTGTGGCAAATCTCTGACAAGTTTACAAAGTAGTGGCCGCTCTGAGTTGGTAGAGGTACTTACCACTTCACTGGGAGTTCCGTGCTCTAAAACAGTTACAAATCTGGTCCCCAAAGATTTGCTATTAGAATGATCGTAATATTACGTATCTATAGCTAGATGGAACCTCAGAGACCAACCTTCTCATTTTATAGATGAGTCAATTGACATCTAGGCTACATAGAGAAGAGCAAAGACGAAATTTGAACCCAGGTCCTCCAACTGCAGACACAATACTTTTCCCCAGTCAGTGAGGAAGCTAGTGAGCAAGAACTATGACCACATTTTGAAAATGAGGTCTATGGCTAAAAAAAAAAAATGTAACCCAGAGTCCATTAGACATGAATGCCCGGGTTCTTCTTGTCCGCTGTTCTCCTATTAAGGGAAAGCCCTGAGAAGGCCTTCCTGCCTTGAGACCCTTGCTCTCAATGGAGATCTGAGGATGTTTGGTAATTTGTTTAGGATCCAGAGCAAAAGGGGGCAAGGCAGGAAATTGGAGGTGGGACTAATGTGGTCTCCCTTGCTCTATATCCCATCTGCCTAGACCTTGTTATGTAGCAAGCTCATGTGGTGCAGGGAAAAGCGTACGAACCCTGGGCTACAGTTGTTTCTCTTCCACCTTCTCAGTGTGTGATCTTGGGCAAATCCCATCACCTCTCTACTCTTAGACTCAGCAAATGAATGTTAGAGCTGGAAAGGATTGTAGAGATCATCTCATCCAACCTTCTCACAGGTTCTCACCATCTCCTTCTTGGACTACTATGAGGACCCCTTATATGGACTCTCTGTCTCCAATCTCTCCCTGTTCCAATCCATCTTCCGCATAGCTGCCAAACTGATTTTTCCTAAAAGGTGTACCTGACGTCGTTACTTTCCTGCTCAAGAAGATGCATTGGCTCCCTCTTGCTTTGAGGTTAAAATACAAAATCCTCAGACTGGCATTTCCAGCCCTCTCCGGTATGGCTCCAGCCAAACTTTGGGTCTTGACCTTTATTCTCCATCCCAGGTAAACTAGCCTGTGCTTGCTGTTTCCTGTGCATAATATCCCATCTCTTGCCTCTGGGCTTTTGCACAGCCTATGGCTCATGCCTGGTGTGCAGTCCCTGCTCCTCTCTGCCTAATAGAATCCCTAGCTTCTTTCTATGTTCAGCTCAAGTGCCATCTCCTATAGGAAGCCCATCCTGACCTCCTCCACCATCCCCAATCGCTAGTGTCCTGCCTGAAAAAATACATTGTGTGTGTGTTTATTTACTTTTTTAGGCACATGTTTTTCTAGTAGAATGTAAACATCTTGCAGGAAGGGACTTTAATTTTTGTCCTTATATCTCCAGCACCTTGGACAGTGCCTAGCACATCATGAATGTTGAACGAATGAATGATTTTCTGTTATACTGTGCTCTGGGCCTCAGTTTCCTTTTCTGAAAAATAAGAAGGTTGGCATAGCTGATCTCTGAGGACCCTCTTGACCCCCAATTTGAGTAGTTCTATAATTCTGTACCTCATTTCCTAAAGACAAGGATGGTGTTCCCCCTTCCTCCCCTCCTTAGGTTTCTACAAGCCCAAGCCAGTCACCTGACTTACCTTTCTCTGAGCACTGATAATTTTCTTGGTGCCTTTGGTGAAGTCACTTCTGCCCTTCAAATGCTGCTCAAACTGTCCTTGGGTCATGTCCCCCTGTTCCATCAGGATGTGTGGTATGTGAGGCTCTAGGTGAGGAGGAGGGTAGGAGGAAGAAAAGTGTCAGGAGAAGAAACACAGCTATGCTGAATTCTGGAGCTGAGGGAGACTGGGAGGAAGCTCAGGGAACAGAAGTTAGGGCAGAGAATTAAGTATTTCTGAAAAGATGGAGATCATTCTTTGCCCACTCCGGCCTGGAGGGCCTGATGATGAGCCAGACAAGAGTCACAGACAAGAGCAGTATGGCTCAATGATTGGGAGTCAGAAGGCCTGGGGTTCAAATCCAGATTTTGTCACTTCTGAATTATGTTACCATGACTAAATCACTTAGGGCCTCAGTTTCCTCCTCTGAAAACAAGAGGGTTGGTCTAGATCAGAGGTTCTTTAAGTGTGGTCTGAAGACCCTTAGGGATCCCTGAGACCTTTTCAGAGGGTTTGTGAGGGCAAAACTATTTTCACAATCATACTAAGATGTTATTTGCCTACTAAAATACTCCTCTCTTTTCCAACTACATATCTGTGAGAGGTCAAATTTTCCTCATACACTTAAACTGAAAAAACAACAACAACAACAAAATGAAAACCTTATTACAAGAGATTAAATGCAGGAGCAGACAGGAAAATATATGTCTTCTATTAAGCCAGACATTAAAGAGATTTGCGAGAATATGCAAAACAACACCACAATTTTCAAGTTTTTGTTTCAGAAAATACAGTTTTCTTTAAAATATATTATTTATGTTAACATGTAACAGGTTTAGTACTGTTATTTTAAAATGAGTTAATAAATGTTCTAAAATTTTTATCAGTTTTAATTTTTAGTATAGTAAATATTACTAGATATAACCTACATAAATAAAAACTCTTTGGGGTCCTCAGTAATTTTTAAGAGTGTGAAAGGAGAACTGCTGTTCTAGATGCTCTGAGGGGCCTTTCAGCCCTGGAGCCAATGATCAAAGCAACAGAAAGGTTGCACAATGGATAGAGTGCTCCACCTGGATTCAGGAAGACCTAGATTCAAATCCAGCCTCAGACATTTATTGGCTGTGTGATCCTGGGCAAGTCATTTAACCTTCATCTGCCTCAGTTTCCTCATATATAAAATGAGTAGATTGGACTAAATAGCTTGTAATTTTCCTAGCTCAAAATCTATGGTGTTTTGTTTCTAAAGATGTCTAAAGATGGGTCAGGGAGGAGTTCATTTGGAGTGTAACAGCTTGGAGGAAAGACTGTGCCTCCTCTTAGCTTTTTATTCAATTGATGACACTCACCAATGTGGCACTAAGTTTGGCTGTTTTTATACTGTGAGAGTGTGGGTGTTGTCAACAGCCATTCAATATGAGGGCCCTCAACTTTGGCAAATGGCCCACTTCAGGGATATACCAAAGCCATGAGACAAGACTTGGGGGATTCAAGGCTGCCCTACCGGTGGGGTGGATAAGGATCTCCACAGGCCTGTCAAAGGTATGCTTGTTGGCCAACGTGATGATGATACTCTTGGCAGAGCAGGCAGACGGGGCAGCATCTGCTCGGATCTCATGGGTGGGACTTTCAACTCCTGAATGGGACAGAAAGGAAGACAGACAGTGAGACACATGGTGGAGTGGGGTGGGTTCAGAAAGGAGGGAGGGAAGGAAGCAGAGAGATAAGGACATATGGCAATCCACAGCCAGAGGAGAGATTCCATGATGGAATGGGAAGAGGTCTGGGCTGGGAACTTAGTGACCTGAGTTCAGGTCTTTGTTGTGACATTAACCTGTTGTATGACCATGGGCAAATCCCTTCAGTTCTCTGGCCCTTGGTGTTGCCCTTTGTAAAATGAAGGGATTGAGCCAGATGACCTCTAATGCCCTTTTGGGTTCTGACATTCTATGCTCTATGGTCTGTTACAGCTCTGACAGGCCATGTTCTAACAATATGTGTTCTAAGTTTCCTTCTTACATTAACATTCTGTGATTGCCATCATGGTATGGAGACTTGAGATTTTCCAGTGGAAGCAACTGACTAATGTTCTACCTTCACTAATTGCCCATTTGGGAGCCTGCCAGACTGGTAGCCATAGCAGCCTTTAAAGTTGAGGACAAGAAACAATGTGCCTTATAGAGACCACTAGCTAGGTGGCAAAGTGGATGGCATGCTGGGTTTGGGAAGACTTGAGTTCAAATCCAGCCTCCAACACAAACTAGCTGTGTGACCCTGGGCAAGTCACTTAACCTCTATCTCCCTCAGTTTCCTCAACTGTAAAAGGAGGATAATAATAGCACCTACCTCCCAAACTTGTTGTAAGTGTTGAATGAGATAATATTTGTAAAGCATTGAGAACAGTGCCTCATGGCATGAGACTTAACAAACACTTCTTCCTTCTTTCCTTCTTCCTTATGAGACTTCATGTATGAGTTCAAATCCCTTCCTCCCTCAACCCTTACCTCCAACAGATTGTTTATGAAGGTCCCTGGATAAGGGTAGTTGGAGCCAAGAAAAGCCAGGTGGCCACTCACCTGCAAGGAGGCAAGGTCCACGGATCTCCAGTTGGAAGCTAAAGTCATACTCCATGGGGTTGGTGATTTCATAGTCTAACAGCTGGGCTATACACAGGGACTTGCTGGAGTACTCAAAGTTCTTGGGCACATAGATATGTTTGCTTCTGTAAGGAAAGGGCAAATAGTTTGGGCAGAATTCAGGGGCTTTTGGGGTGGGGAGGTGGTAGCAATAGGGCAGGGGAAAGGCCAGTTGTAGGCCAGGGGACTGAGCCAGTGGATTAGAGGCACAGGGAGCCAATTAAAGGGCTAGCAGGGGGCTCCATGATTCTTCTTGCCTCCCACTCCAAGTTCTAGCCCTGATGCAGCTCTGGGATGGGGGGAGACTTGGCTCAGTGTTCTCCAGAAGCGTTGGTTACCAAGAATGGATAAGAGGCCCTGCACTGGAGTGGAACTAAAAAGTCAGAAACCAGACTTGGGGCAGGAATGGATGGGATTCAGGAGGAGGCTATGGAGATGGTTCTATCGTCCCCGACAGTCTTCACTTAAAGGTAGGGAGGCTCGGAGCAACATGGGGTGGTCCATGACCATGAGATGCACTGGGATGCAACAGGAAAAGTCCTGGACTGGGAGTCAGGTGACCTGAGCTCCTACTGCTGATAAACAGTGTCATTTTGGGCAGGGCACTTCCTGTCTCTGGGTCTTAGGGTCGTACTCTGCAAAGCAAGGGGTGGGACCAGAAGGTCTCTAAGGCCCCTTCCAGCTCTGACATTCTGTGTGCTAAGGGCCCTCCCATCTCTGATATTCTGTATTCTCAGGGCCCTTTCACCTTTTATATCCATGATAGTTGCCAATGTATTGGGCTTTGAGATTTGCCAATGATGCCATTGACTGATGTGCTATCTATACCAAAAATCAGTCTGCTGCAAAGAATGCTGGATTTGGAATCCAGGTTCCAATCTTATCCCTTCCAATTACTATTGCAATGATCTTAGGCAGAGAGAGGTGCTGAAGGATCAAGAATAATAGGGAAATGGCCTTAAGGCCTTGGAAGACCTGGGCTCATGTTCTCCATACTGGCTGTGTGACCCAGGACAAGTCATTTAACCTCTCAGTGAGTGCCTAGGCAAGTCTTTAAGACTATAAATTGCAGAGAAGGTGTTGTTCTGCATTGGCAGAAGTAATTTCCTCATCTGGGACTTCCTTCTATTAATAAAATCACAGGGTCCAATCTCTAGCCCCTATGATTGTAGATGATTCTCATAATTGCCATCTCTTTGGGCCACTTATTTCTCACTTGTAAAATGATGGGGTTGAAATTAATTGATCTCTGAGGTTCCTTCCAACTCAAAAATCTTTGATCTTATTTTCCCTTATATGGGAATTTTAAATTTCCTTTTATTATTCAGGACTCAAGGCCATTCATTGCTCCTACAAATTTCAGTTAATATTAACCTCACTTGACTGTAAGCTATCCCATAGGATGTGAAAATTGACTTACAGCCTTAAACATTCCTTAGATAGGAAGCCAGAGGAAGAATCTTAAATGTCCCCAACTCCTTGGCAACATGTAAATCCTCCTTCTCAGTCTGTTTGTGAACCCTCTAAATATGGACTTAGTTTACCTATAGAGTTTGTTTGATGAAGTTTGTGTCCTTAAAAGATGTATGAGATCATGACTGTTTAAGTGTTCAAGGTTCATGGCATCAAAAGACATATGGGGTCATAAATCTACTTTCTTGACTTGTATGGCCCAAGAGAAATGTATAAGTTCACAATATGTAAATGAACTATTTCTCTGTCAACTCTGATGTAATTTTGCCTATAACAAGCTTTGTCAGAATCCTCATAATGTTTAGATTTTCTCTGAGGCCTGAGTCTATGCTTGAGCATACTAATAAAACCTAGGTTTTTGCCTTCATTATTCCTGCATTATGGTAAATCTATACAGTTACCCCTTCCACATTAGGGGAGCTAGGGACATGGCACCCCCATGATCTAGAAAATCTGTGTAAAATTTTTTGGCCCTCCCTTTGTACCAGAGAAGAAATCTGAATTATTACGGTATTAAAAGATAAAATATGTAGCTATTCTATAATATTCTATATTTATTTTACGCATTTCTGAGTTTCTAAACTTTTTCTATGTTGTCTGCTGCTTTCACAAGTTGTCTGAGGCTTCTGGAAAACTCCCCAAATTTCCCTTTTCATTTCTTATGCCGACCCATGACATGTCGAAACCGTGATGGGGAAAGTCACATGTGGAAGGGATTTGACAGAGTTGCCTACCACATAAAGTCAGAGAGGAGATTATTTCTCTTATAACACCCTAAATGTTCTTTCCTCCATTTCTGATAATGAATCACCTGCCCCATCCTTTTGATAACTCAAGACCATTGTTTCTGAAAATCCAAATCCGTGCCTCAGTGATGAGATGGGAGTGGAAGGCAGAAGGCCAGGATGCCTTGGCTGGTCTCTTACAAACTACAGTGAAAAACCTACGTGCTCTAGTGTCCAGCCTCATCAGTGCTCCACACCAGGCATCAGAGAAGGCTAGTATTTATTGATGTTAAAGCAGATACCCCCACTTCCACTTTTGAGAGCCTGTCTGCTCTGACAGTCAGAGTCCAGTAGAACCTCCTATCCCACATGGAATGGTTAGCCCCAAACTTGCCACCAGGCAAGGCAGATACAAATGGGACAGAACCTCAGCACAGGATAAAAAGGGGTCCCCCTACTTCCTACTCATAGCTTTTTTGGACCCAGAAGTCTCATAAGCATCTTCAGGTGTGCAAGTCCCAGAATTGGTCCAGAGGGATCACTTCCCTTTCCCAAGTGGCCTGCCTTCAGCTGGCCTCCAGAGGGTATTAGCTGCTTTCGTGGACCTTCTGTCTCTCAGAAAGGGGTCTGAAGGGACTACCCTCCCCATCCTCACAACACTCACACTATGAAAGCAATGAGGCAGATCCTACTATTGCTCTTCTCCAAACTGTGAAGTCTGCCTCCTAGCATTAGGACAAGGGGGTCTCTCACCCTCGGGGCTGTTGACCAGAGATGCTGTTATCTGAGTGAGGGACTGGTGGGACACACACAGTTGGCAGCAGGACCCTCACGGCTCCACTGGGTAGAGTCTGGAGCTCCGAGGAGGTGCTGATAAAGATGGACACACTTTCCAGGGGGCCAATCATACCCAGGTTGGCCACAAACACAGTCCGTTCCAGATCTTCATCCAGAGTGATCTTGCCTGAGGAGGATGACATGGGGTGGAAAGAGTAATCCAGGAAACATCAGCTTCCCTGGAGATTGGACTCAAAAGAGTTCAATTGAATTGAAGTGAAGTGAAATAAACTGAATTGAATTGAATTCCATTTATTTCAGTACAAGTAGTAAAATTCAGTTCAATTCAGGTCAATTATTAATTTATTCAAAGCAATTTAATTGAATTCAATTCAGTCTAGTCTGTATCAATTCAATTAATTAGTTTTTACTGAGTGCCTACTACGTATCTAGGATGGTTGGGGGATGAGGGAGGAAGATTATAAGAAAAGTATTCCCTTCATACAATGTTGGACTTGGTCAGGATGTTGGCTAGTTTTGCCGAACTGGCTACTTTTTCTTTTTTCCCCCCTCTGTTTTAAGGGAGGTTCTCTATTGGGAAATAAAGGTGATATAAAAACAAAAGATATCAACAAAATCTTTTTGAATGAGAAGGAAAGGAGGGAAGAAGAAAGGAAAGAAGGAAGGAAGGAATGAAAGAAGGGAGAGAAAGAAACAGAAAAGAGACAAAAGGAAAGAGGAAGAGAGAAAAAAGAAGAGAGAAAAGAGAAAAAGAAGAGAGAAAGAATTGTAGATTGTAATGTCTTCAGTAACTACCACTTTTCACTAAATAAAAATAAAAAAAATCTTCTGCCATCGAAAGCCCTCCACAATCTTGTTCCAAATGACCTGTCTAGCTTTATCTCACCCTACTTCATGTTTACTACATTCCAGTCAAACTGGACCAGTTGCTATTTCCCCATGTTTTTGTTCTAACTGTTTCCCCATGCCTTGGATGCCACCCCCCATCTCCATCCCCATTTGTGGACATTCTGTCCATCTTTGAAAGCCTAGGTAAAGGTACTACCCTCCTCTGTGAAGTCATTGGAGTGGAGGAGTGAGAATTTCAGTCATGGGAAAGAGTCTGTACAAAGGTGTGGTGATGGGGGATGAACTGTCAAATATAGGAAGCTGCAAGTTGACTAATTTGGCTAGGGAAATGTGAAAACAACCCAGAAAGATAGGTTGGAGACAGACCCTATGGGGATTTAAATGCCAGGTCAAGGAGTTTTGATTTTATCCTCAAGGCAAAAGAGAGCTACTGAAGTTGTTGTAGGAGAGGAGTGACGAGGTCATTCTGGCGTATTAGGAAGAACAATTTGGGCACTATGTGGAGGAAGGATTGGAGAGGACAGAAGTAGAGAGACTGGTTCAATAGCCCAGAGGAGAGGTGATAAAGGACTGAATTGGTGTGCTCTCTCTGTAAGAAGAGAGGGGGACAGAGACCAGAGACGTGGACACAGAATCCATCATATGTGGTAACTAATCAATCAGGGGGCGATGGTGGGGTGAGGGAGAGGCAAGAGTTGAAGATGACACAAGGCTAAGGTGACTGAAAGGATGGTGGTAATAGGGAGATTAGGGATGGGATGGCATTTGGAGGAAAGCCATTGGGTTCCATTTGGGTATGTTGAGTTTGAGATGCTGAAGGATCATCCAAAGTGTAGAGGAATGATTCAATGAGTAAATGAATGATTGAAAAGGCATTTCAAGCACTTGACACTCTACACAGAGACGGCCTGAAGGAAGCTGGTGTAGGACACCTGAGCCTCATTTTACAGACGAGGAAAGTGAGAAACAGAGAATTCATTACTAGAGAAGGGGCAGGGATTCACTGGCAAGGATAGCAACATATGGATGGTTTGGATTCTGTACCTGTGGAAAGAGGACCGACATCCAATATCCATCCAAATAGTCTAGTATTGACAAATGAGGAAACGGAGTGTCAGAGAAGTAAGGAGACTTGCCCAGGGTCATGCAGCTAAGCAGTAACAGGGCTGGGACTAGAACCCAGGCATCACCAGATCACGTATTTAGAGTTCAAAGGGACCTAACCTTTTTACTTGAAGATGAGAACGCTGAGGTCTAGAAAACTTAGTTCACTTACCCAAGGTCACACAGCTAGGTAGTAAAATGGCAGAGGCTATGCTTGAACCTAATTTCTCTGACCCCAAATCCGGTGCTTTTTCTATTACATCGTGTCACTACCCGAGAAACTGATTTAGGTGGAGCCAAGATGTTGAATTAGAGGTAGCAACCTAGCTGAACTCTGTTAACATTCCCCTCCAGACAACTTTAAAATAATGCCGCAAATAAAATTTTGGAGTGGCAGAGACAACAAAAGTTCGAGGTGAGAGATTTTTCTGGCCTAAGAAAACTTGGGAGATGTAGTGGAGAGATCTGTCACATTGGGGTGGGGGCCTGTCCACAGGGCACCTGCAACAGTGGCTGCAGCGGCAACAACAGCTTTGGGAGCTCTCAGCCCAGAGAATGTAAGGAAGTTAGATAACTGATGAGAAAGAGATTACAGGGGATCTACTTCTGGCACTGATACAGTTGCTGCTTATTGGCAATTCTATTGCCCATACACTGTTCTGGGTTTGCAGTTCCAGGGTGGAGAAGAGTGATTCTGGTTGGTCACGAGGGGGTAGAGGCTCTGGTCACAGTTCCAGAGCCAAGGGGAGTGCTAGTGCTTGTATCTGCCAAGGAGTAGGGGCCCTTCCTGGGTAAAGACTGGAGTCTAGACCAGGAGAACAGTGACCACACCTCTCCCTGGATCGTACTACTTAGGAAGCACTGAAAACTTGTGGACCCCCAGAACTAGCCCTGAAAACAGCAGCATAGAAACCTTGAAGCTTGGCATAGTGCCTCCCCACCTCTAGGTGAGCAAGAGCCCAACTTTAACATAAAGTTCAAAGTCAAGAAATAGACTAGAAAAAAGAGCAAATGACAAAAAAAGAACTTGACCATAAAAAGCTACTATGGTGGCAGAGAAGACCAAGACACAAACTCAGAAGAGGACAATACTGTGAAAATAACTACAAGCAAAGCTTCACACACCCAACAAGAATTCTTGGAAGAATTAAAGAGACAAGAGTCGTACAGGAAAAATTGGGAGAAGAAATGAGAGTGTTGCAAGGAAATTATGAAAAGATAATTAACAGCTTGGTAAAGAGGCACAAAAAATATTGGAAAAAAAACCACTTTAAAAACAGAATTGGCCTATGGTAAAAGAGGCACAAAAATTCACTGAATTAAAGAACTCCTAAAAAAGCAGAATCGGACAAATAGAAAAAGAGGTACAAAAGCTCACTGAAGAACATAATTCCTTAAAAATTAGAATTGTGAACGTGGAACCTAATGACTCCATGAGACATCAAGAAGCAATAAAACAAAGCCAAAAGAATGAAAAAATAGGAGAAAAAGTGAAATATTTCATCAGAAAAAGAACAACTGACCTGGAAAATAAATTGAGGAGAAATAGTTTAAGAATTATTAAACTACCAGAGATCCATGGTAAAAAAAAAAAGAGTCTAGACATCATCTTTCAAGAGATTGTCAAAAAAACTGCCCTGATATTCTAGAACCAGAGGGTAAAATAAGCATTGAAAGAATCTGCCAATCGCCTCCTTAAAGAAATGCCAGAATGAAAATTCCCAAGAATATTATAGTCAAATTCCAGAACTCCCGGGTCAAGGAGAAAATGTTTCAAGCGGCCAGAAAGAAACAATTCAATTATCATGGAACAATATCAAGGATCATGGAAGATTTGGTGGCTTCCACATTAAAGAAGCAGAGGGCTTGGAATATGATATTCTACAAGGCAAAGAAGTTAGGATTATAGCCCACCCAGCAAAACTGAGTATAATCCTTCAGGGGGAAAATGGATATTTAATAACACAGAGAACTTTCAAGCACTCTTGATGAAAAGACCAGAGCTGAATAGAAAATTTGACATTCAAACATGCGATTCAAGAAAAGCGTAAAAAGGTAAACATGAGAGAGAAATCATAAAGAAATTAATATGGTTAAGCTGTTTACATTCTTATGGGAAGATGATTCATGTTACTCCTAAGAACTGTATCATTATTATTGCAGTTAGAAGGTGTCTATATAGACAGAGGGCATGGGTGTGTGTCAATTATATTGATCAGCAAAAAGAAAAAATGAGAGGGTGAGAAAGGGGAAGGGAGAGGTAGAAGGGGGAGCTCTTCTCACATAAAAGAGGCACTCACTCAAGGAAGAGCTTTCATAGTGGAAGGGAAAATGGGGAGTGGTGTAGGGCAATGCTTGAACCTCACTCTCATTGAAATTGGTTCACAAAGAAGAATACACACACACACACACACACACACACACACACACAGAGTTGTATATAAAAATCTATCTTACCAAATAGAGAAATAGGAAGGGAAGGGGATAAAAGAAATGGTGGGAGATAATAACAGGGAAGGCAAATTAAGGGAGGCAGCAGTTAGAAGCAAAATAGATTTCTGATGAAGGATAGGATAAAAACAGAGAAAAGAATAAGCAGAAGGAATTGGGAAATACACAGTAATGATAATTGTGAATGTGAATGGGATGAGCTCACTTGTAAAAAGGAAGTAGATAGCAGAATGGATTAGAATTCAAAATCCATAGATATGTTATTTATAAGAGACACACTTGAAACGAAAGACACACAGAGAGTGAAAATAAAGAGCAGAAGCAGAATCTAACACACTTCAGCCGAAGTAAAAAAGGAGGGAGTAGAAATCATAATCCCAAACAAAGCAAAAGTGAAAATAGACCTAATTAAAAGAGATAATCAGGGAAACTACATTTTACTAATGGGTACCATAGACAATGAAATAGTATAAAAAATATTTCTACCAAGTTTCTTTGATAAAGGCTTCAAATGTGTAGATAATGGAGTCAAATATATAAAATAAGAGCCATTCCTTAATTGATAAATGGTCATGGATATAAATGGGCAGTGTTCAGAAAAAGAAATCAAAATTATCTATATTCATTTGAAAAAAATGCTCTAAATTACTATTGATTAGAGTGGGCAGTGTTCAGAAAAAGAAATCAAAATTATCTATATTCATTTGAAAAAAATGCTCTAAATTACTATTGATTAGAGAAATGTAAATTAAAACAACTCTGAGGTACCACTTATCAGAAATGACATATACTGGAGGGGATGAGGGAAAATAGGTACACAATGAACTATGGGGGAGTAGTGAACTGGTCCAACCATTCTGGAGAACAACTTGGAACTATGCCCAAAGGGCTATAAAACTGGGCGTACCTTTTGATTTAGCAATACCATTAGTAGGTCTATATCCTAAAGATATCAAAGGAAAAGGAAAAGGACCGATATATACAAAAAGTACTTGTAGCAGCCCTTTCTGTGGTGCAAAGATTGGGAAACTGAGGGGATGCTCATCAAGTGAGACTTATGATTGTGATGGAGTGCTATTGTGCTATAAGAAATGACTAGCGGGGTGGTTTCAGAAAAATCTGGCAAGATGTATATGAACTGATGTAAAGTGAAGTGAGCAGAACCCAGAGATCATTATACATAGGAACAGCCATGTTGTAGTAATGACCAGCTATGAATGACTTGGCTACTTTGATCAATACAATGATCCAAGACAGTTCCAAAGGACTTATGGTGAAAAAAAAATGCCGTCCACCCCCAGAGAGAGAACTGATGAACTCCAAGTGCAAATTGAAATATATTTTTCTCACTTTTCCCCCTCGCTTCATTAATTCATTCATTTATTTATTTTAGTAATATGGCTAATACGGAAACATGTTCTGCATGATTTCACATGTATAAATGATCTCATATTGCTTGCCTTCTCAGTGGATGGGGGGGTGGGAGTGGGAAAGAGGGAGAGAATTAGTTACTCAAAATTGAAAAAGAATGTTAAAAATAAATAAATAATAAATTACAAAAAAAGAAATAAACTTACTTATGAGGTTCCTGGCAGAGCCATAACTAAAATTTGTGTGTCTGGTCCAAGTAACACCAGACTGTTCCTTGGGCAAGCATCTCAAAATAAACCTTAGGTTGAGGGGAAGGTGGGAGGGGGACAGAGACCTAAGAAGGTAGAGATAGCAGGGCTGGGCAAGGCAAGACACTACAGAACTCACCCCAACTTGCCTATTTTAACTAATTATTCTCAAGAACTAAGTCCTAAGCTCTGCTATTTCTAGTTAATTAAGGATTGCAAGTACGATTAGTACCTTCTAAACCTGGCACCCTGGGACAAAGCTCTAGTCACTCCACCCTCGTTATGGCCTAGTCCCAACCCCAGGCTCAGTAAAAGCCCCAACTCTACCCACAGCCCCAGTCTAGGTCCTTGCCCTGGGCCCAGTCCACACCCCAGATAAAACTTCCTCCTCCTCTATCCTAGCCATCTTACCCGTACCATTATGAGGTCGATTCATGTCAAAGTAGCCACTGTTCAGTTTGGCTTTGTCCTTGATCTGTACTGTCACGGATCTGTCAGAGATGATGGCTTCGAATCCGACCACTGTGGTGTACTCATCCAGGGGATACACGAAGAGGCCTGCCAGGGAAGGCACCCGCCCCCACCATGGACATTGAATGAGTGAATGGCATCTACCTGAGCTTCCCCTCACCCCTACATCCCATAGGTACTATCCCATACAAAGCATCAGGATATAGACATTAGAAGCTGTGTTTGAAGTCAGAGGACCAGGATTCTATGTACCAGCTGTATGACCTTGGGTTTCCCTCCTCTGGGCCTCATCTGTAGCATGAGGAATTGGGCTTGATGGCCTCCAATATCCCTTCTATCACTATGATTCCATGAACTCCTCCCTCATGACACTTGACATATAAATGTCTGGTGCTATGTATGAGCCCCTTAAAATTTGCAAAGCCTTTTTTTCATCCACACAGTATCTCTTTTGATCTACACAACAATTCTCAGGTGTCATTATCACCATTTTCCAGATGATGAAACTCTGGATATGAAAACAAGCTGCTCTGCCCAGGGTCCCAGAGTGGGGAAGAGTTGAAGATGGGGACTGAGGTCTTCTGGAACCCAAGTCCAGTATCTTATCATGTGATCGCAGGTCCAGAGTTGGCAGGAACCCCAGAGGCCTTGTAGTCTAGTACAATCATTTTTACAGATGAGGAAACTGAGGTCCAGGGAAGTCAAGTGACCTGCCTAAAATCACACAGGCAGCGTCAGAGGCAGAATGTGGGCCTGCCACCATCCCTTCAGACCCCTTAAATACTTTCTTACTTGGTTGATTGTTCAGAGCGCAGTGGTGAAGGCTCTTCCACTGCAGCATGTTGCCACCAGCCAGAGGTGTCAAACTTGTGGCCTCATGCAACTTTGCAACACCCCTGAGCGCTACCTGAACCGGATTAAAATGTAATTGGGAAATGTTGAACAAAATGAATAAAAATACAATAAAACATAGACAATGTTAATTTCTGATTTTTCAAATCAGTATCGAAAGGAGGGATTGTTTCTATTTGTTTGACGCCACCGTCCTAGACCATGACCTTAGGCAAGTCGCTTGTGTGCTCTCTGAGACTCATATAAAGAATGAGGGAGTTGGGCCAGATTGCATAAGATCTCTACTAGTTCTCTGTCCTAGGATCCTGTACAAATCTTAGAGTGAGGCCAGTCCAGATGGCATTTCCAGACCATTTTGCATATGTCATCTCATTTGATGATCCTAGCATTCCCTCTTTGAGGCATGTAGGACAATGATTATTATTCCTCTTTTGCAGCTGAGGTCAAGAGAAGAGAAGCAATTGCTCAGGGTCATAGACATGGTAGCAGAGGGGGGGTCAAACCGGGGCCCTGAGATTACAGAAGTCAGTGGTCTTTCCTGTTCAGCACAGCTGCTTCCATTTGAGGGAACCTTCGCTTTTACTGGCGGAGCTTCAGAGAAACTCATAACAAAATGAGTGACAAAGAGAGGATTGGTGGCAATGTTGGGGGGGCGTTAAGTCCAGGTCCTCGGACTTCAAATCCAGGGCTTGGTCCATCATAGAACAGTGGGGGATGCTTCACATAAGATAAGGGGTCCTTGAGATGGGACTGTGTTATATAAGGGACATGAGACTTTCTAGTTGGGACTCACCCTATCTGAATGGATTCACTCCCCTCCCTCCCACCTTCTTATCCTGATCCGACCAACTATATAGTGGGTGACAGCCCAGGGCTGAAACTGAGACCGAAACTGTTCACCTGCCTTGGACATACAGCATCCAAGCTGGGCTGAAGGGACCATGCAGAGAGAGGAGGGGCAAAGTGTTCAGCAAGGGGGATCTTTACCTTGGAAAGGCTGGACTTCCACATTGCCATAGGTGAGAGAGGCCATGAGGCCAAAAGCATAGCCCTGGACACAGGAGGTGATGTCAGAGGACGTGAGTGGAAGCGGCTCCCAGGTGCTAGAGTTGAGCAGGCCAGGCATCTTGCTGCTGCTGCTGCCTTCAGTGCCACTGTTTCTGGTCTGGGCCTCTTTGATCTGCAGGAGATGTGGCAGTAGGGAAAGCTCTCTCTTGATTCCCGTCTCCTCACCATCATTCCCATCCCCCAGGTCCCACCCCCATAACTCCCATTTCTGTGGGGCTTTTCTCATAGCAACCCTGTAAGGGGGAGAGTGCAAATATGATTGTCTCCATTTGGCAGATGAGGAAATTGAGTTTCAGAAGGGAAAAGTTCAAGATCACAGCTAGCAAGTGCTAAACCCTTTGTTGCTATAGGATTTTCCAGTTTAATTCAATATGATTGAGTAAACATTTATTATCTTCCTACTGTTTGGTGACAGAAAGATGAAAAGTGATTGTCTTTGCCCTCAAGTTGCTTATAATCAACTACTGAGGATACAGCGCATACACAAATGTGTCTCATCCCTCCACAGAATATAAGGTTCCTGAGGGCATGGACTATTTCATTCCTGACTTTGTATTCCTGAAGTACCTAGCACAGTACTGAGTGCACAGTAGGTTAAATCAAGTCATGTCAACAAATATTTATTAAGCGCTTACTGCACCCTAAACACTGGGGATACAAAGAAAGGCAAAAACACAGGCCCTGCCCTCAAGGAGCTCACATTCTAATGAGGGATACAATATGTAAACAACTGTGAACATATACGATATCATCTATACAGAGGAACTAAAAGTCACTTTAAGAGAGGAAGGCAATAGCAGCTGGGGGGAGTGGGAAAGGCCTCCCGAATAAGGTCAGAATTTGAATTGAGTATTGAAAGAAGTTGGGGAAAACCGCAAGGCAGAAGGGAGGGCGCATGCGGGACAGCTTATGTAAAAGCAAGGAGAGGAGAGATGAAATGCTGTGTCCAAGCAGGCCAGCGTCTCTAGATCTTAAGAGCATATAAAGAAGAGTGAAGTGTAGGAAGATTGGAAGGATGGGAAAGAGCCAGGTGATTAGTCTCAACTAGGGTTGAGGTTTTGTGAATGGAGAGGAGGGGATTAATACTGTGAAGGCAGAAGTGATAGGATTTGGTAATGAGTTGAATAGATGGGGTGAGTGAGTGAGGAATCACTTAGATTGAAACCTAGGTAGCTGGGAGGATAGTGATGGCTTTGGCACTAAGAGGGAAATTGGGGAGAGAGGAGGGTTTTGGGGGGAAAGATAACGAGTCTGTTTTGGACATGCTGAGTTAGAGGTGCCTATGGGAAATCCAGTTCAAGATGTCCCAAAGGCAGTTGGTCGTGAAGGACTGGAGGTCAGGAGAGAGGTTAGAGCCTGATAAATAGATCTGAGAATGGGAGCTGATGAGATCACCAAGTAAAATAATATAGATGGAGAAACAAAGGGGACCCAGGACAGAGGATACCCACAGTTAGTGTGCATGACTTGGAGTAAGAGCTTGCAAGAGAGACAGAGAAAGTGCATAATAAGTGCTTGTTGGTTGATTTCTCTTGGTGTCTTCATCAGAAGCCATGGATTTAATGATCATCTCTATTCTAATGACTCACACACCTATATAGCCAGCCCTGTCTCTCCCTTACATCACCAATTGCCTTTTGGACATTTCAAACCGGACATTGTAGACATCTGAAATTCAACATGTTAAAAGCAGAACTCATTGTCTCCCCTGCCGAATTAACTCCTCTTTCAAACTTCCAACCTGTTGAAGGCACCATCATTCTTTTAGTCTTCCAGGATCAAAACCTTGATGTTAATCTCAATTCCACTTCTCTTTTTCATCCCACATATCCAATAAATAGCCCCAAATCCTGCTGTTTCTCCCTCCAAAATTTCATCCAGGCCCTTCTCTCTAATTATACACTAGTGCAAAACCTCATCCCCTCTTTACTAGATTTTTGGAACACTCTCCTAATGTGTCTCCTTGCTTCAAGTCTCTGCCCACTCCAACCCATCTTCCACATAGCTGCCAAGCATAGATCTAACAATGTGACTCCCATAATCAGTAAGCAACAAAGACCTTCTATTTCCTCTAGAAGCAAATACAAACTCCTGTTTTGTTTTTAAAGCCTTTCACAACCTGACCCCAAACTATCTTTCCAGCTTCCTTGGACATCGTTCCTCCTCTCATCAAATGAGATAATATTTGTAGCGCTTAGCAAAGTGCTTGGCACATAGCAGGTGCTTAATAAAATCTTGTTCCTTTTCCCATTCCCCTTCTCCTCCCACATCTTCTGGTTAGGGTCCAGCTAAACAGGCTTTTTCTCTGTTGAGATACTCAATCTCCCATCTCTGTGCTTCTGTACTTCTTGTCTCCAAGGCCTAGAATGCATTCCTTCCTCAACGCTACAAGCACCCCCTCCATGAAGCCTTCTCCCCCAGTAGTTCCCTCCTTCTCAAATTCCTTCGAATTCTTTTTGAGAAAACAGCTTCGATCTGCACACAGAGTTCATTAGTTCTTTCTCTGGAAGTGGACAGAATTTTTTGTAATGAGTCCATTGGAATTGTCATCAATTATTGTACTGATCAGAGTAGCTAAGTCATTCACAGTTGATCATCTTTTATAATACTGTAATTACTGTGTATAATGTTCTTCTGGTTCTACTAACTTCATTTTGCATTAGTTCATTTAAGTTTTTCCAGGTTTTTCTGAAAGCATTCTGTTTGTCATTTCTTATAGCACAATCATATTCCATCATAACCAGGTATCACAAGGTGTTCAGCCACTCCCCAATTGATGGACAACCTTTCAATTTCCAATTTTTTGCCACCACAAAAAGCTGCTATAAATATTTTGTACAAATAGGTTCTTCCCTGCCCCCTTTTATCTTTTTGAAATACAGACCCAGTAATAGTATTGCTGGGTCTAAGGGTATGTTCAGTTTTTAGCCCTTTGGGCATAATATCAAATTATTCTTCAGAATTGTTGGAGTTCACAACTCCACCAACAGTGCATTCGTGAACTTATTTTTCACACCCCCTCCAGCTTTGTTATTTTCCTTTTCTGTCATGTTAGCCAGGCTGATGGGTGTGAGGTAGTACCTCAGAGTTGTTTTAATTTGCATTTCTCCAATTATTAAAGATTTAGAGCATTTTTATGTGACTATTAATAATTTTGATTTCTTCTTCTGAAAACTGTCTATTCCTATATCCCTTGACCATTTATCAATTAGAGAATGACCCATTTTTATAAATTTGACTCATTTCCCTATACAGTTGAGAAATAAGACCTTTATTGAAGAAACTTCCTGTAAAATTTTCCCCCAGTTTCTTGTTTTTCTTCTAATTTTTGTTGCATTTGGTTTTGTTTGGACAAACCCTTTTAAATTTCATATAATCAAAATTATCCTTTTTGTGTCCTGTGATCCTCTGCATTTCTTGTTTGGTCATGAACTCTTTCTTTATCCATAGATCTGACAGGCACATTTTCCTGTATGCTATGTTCAGTGCTGAGGATGCAAATATAATAAAGGAAAAAAATCTCTAATCTTAAGGAGCTTATATTTGAATGAGGAAGATGACAGAATATATGTAACATACACACATATATACACATATATGTATATATACATACATATACATATATGTATATGGTATACATATGTGTACATACTGAATAAATAGAAAGAGAATGATATTAAATTCAAAAGAGTTTGACACAGTTATAAAACACTCTTCACCCAAATATAGATCCCCTAATTTGCTTATATCACCCGTTATGTCTGAATCATGTACTCATTTTGAAATTTTTTATTTTATTTTTTCTCAATTACATGAAAAAATTTAACATTCAGTTTTTGGAAATATAAATTCCATATTCTTTTCCTCCTTCCCTTTCCCTCCCCGCTTCTTGAGAAGGCAAGCAATTTAATATAGATTATACTATGCAGTCATGCAAAACATATTTCTATGTTAGTCATGTTGAGAAAGAAAACACAGACAAAAAAGAATCACAAATAATAAAGTAAAAAAACAACAACTATGCTTCGATCTATACTTAGGTTCCATCAGTTCTTTCTCTGGAGGTGGATGGTATGCTTCATCATAAATCCTTTGGGACTGTCTTGGATCATTGCACTGCTGAGAATAGCTGATCATTGTACCATACCGCTGTTACTGTGTACAATGCTATCTTGGTTCTGTCCACTTCATTTTGCATCAATTCATATAAGTCTTTCCAGGTTTTTCTGAAAGTATCCTGCTTGTCATTTCTGATAGCCCGATAGTATTCCATCAAAATCATATATCACAACTTGTTCAGCCATTCCCCAACTGATGAACATCTCTTCAATTTCCAATTCTTTGCCAACACAAAAAGAGCTGCTATAAATATTTTTTGTACAAATAGACCCTTTTCCCTTCCCCCCCCCAACTCTTTGGGATACAAACCTTTTATTAGTGGTATTGCTGGGTCAAAGGGTATGCATGGTTGTATAACCCTTTGGGCATAGTTCCAAATTGCTCTCCAGAATGGTTGAATCAGTGTACGACTTCACCAATAGTACATTAGTGTTTGAATTTTCCTACATCCCCTCCAATGTTTGTCATTTTCCTTTTTTATCATGTTAGCCAATCTGATAGGTGTTAGGTGTTACTTCAGAATTGTTTTAATGTGCATTTGTCTAATTGATAGTGATTTAGAGCATTTTTTCATATGACTATAGGTAGCTTTGATTTCTTTGTTTGAAAACTGTCTGTTCGTATCTTTTGACCATTGGGAAATGATTCATATTCTTATAAACTTGATTCTGTTTCTATATATTTGAGAAATAAGGTTTTAATCAGAGAAACTTGCTGTAAATCCCCACCCTCACCCCAGTTTTCTGCTTCCTTCTAATCTTGGCTACATTGGTTTTGTTTGTACAAATACTATTTAATTTGATGTAATCAAAATTATCCATTTTATATCCCGTAATATTCTCTATCTCTCATCATAAATTCTTCCTTTATCCACAAACTAGACAGGTAAAATATTCTATGCTCCTCCAATTTGCTTATGAGATAACCCTTTATGTCTAAATCATATACCCATTTTGATCTTATCTCAGTATATGGTATGAGATGTTAGTCCTTACCTAGTTTCTGAGAAACTGCTTTCTGGTTTTCTCAGCAGTTTTTGTCAAACAGTGATTTCTTGTCCCCAAAGCTTGGATCTTTGGGTTTATCAAACACCAGATTACCATGGTCATTTGCCTTTATATACTGTGTACTTAATCTATTTCACCAATCAACCATTCTATTTCTTAGCTAGTACCAGATTGTTTTGATGATTGCCACTTTGTAATATAGTTTGAAATCTGGTACTGCTAGGTCACCTTACTTCACATTTTTTTCTTTTTCTTTTTTAAATTTTATTCATTTATTTTGATTTATCAATAATCACTTCCATATGCTTTTGAATTTAAAATTTTTCTCTCCCCTTCCTCCCCACCACCCTCCTCAAGACAGCATACAATCTGATATAGGCTATACATTTACATTCCTATTAAACATATTTTCACATTAGTGGTGTTGTAAGTAAAAACTAAAACCAATAGGAAGAACCATCAGAAAGAGGAAACAAAACTCAACAGAAGAGAAAAAAAATAGCAGTTCAATTTTCATAGTTCTTTCTTTGGATGTGGACAGCATTTTCCATCACAAGGCCTCTGGAGATGTATTAGATCTTTGTATTGCTGGGAAAGGTTAAGTTTATCAGTATTAGTCATCACACAACGTGGCTGTTATTGTGTACAATGTTCTCTTTGTTCTGCTCATTTCACTCAGCATCAGACTATACAAGTCTTTCCAGGTTTTTCTGAAGTCAGCCTGTTCATCATTTCTTATAGCACAATAGTATTCCATTACACTCATATACCACAACTTGCTCAGCCATTCCCCAATTGATGGTCATCCTCTCAATTTCCAATTCTTTGCCACCACAAAAAGAGCTACTACGAATATTTTTGTACGTGTGGGTCCTTTTCCCATTTGTATGATCTCTTTGGCATACCAGCCAGGGATGGAGGGCACCAATTTTCCTCTTCTTGTCACAGATATAGAGAAGTTAACTGACTTGCCCAATGTCACCCAGCAACCTAAGGGTCAGAGTTGGGACTAGAATCCACATCTCCTGACTTTTGGCCAAGTTAAGCTATTCTAGTCCTACTTCTATCTCCTTCCTTGGAAAGTAGGTCATTCAATCTCTTTGGGCTTCATTTTCTTTTTTCTTTTCTTTTTTTTTTTTTAAAGGTATCAAGGATACATTTTAATGGGAAAAAAGGTCAAACAACCTATATTTTCATCGATGGGTTTCACTTTCTCCATGAGGGGCCATATGGATGAGTCACTTACCCACTGGTCCTAGGTTGCCTCATCTGTAAAATGAGGAACTTGGGCAAAACCATTAAATTATAGGAGTACACAGATCTTAGAGTTGAATGAATGAAATGAATTAATGGAAAAATTGAAAAAGATGTTCAAGGTCACTTCCTTACCTGAAGTATGAATGTCTTCTACAACATACCTAGCAAATAGTCATTCAGCCTTTGCTGGAATGAACCTCAATTGGTTTCTAAGGTCCCTTTGTCCTCAAACATTCTACGAGCTATGATCTCTTTCAGTTCCAACGTTCTAGGATTCTATATTCCATAGACAAATCAAGACTTCCTTTTTGAAAGTGCTCTCATGGTAGGGGGAGGGGGTGTTGAGTCACCTCCTCTCTGATGCTCACCTGTAATGTAAGGTGTCATTACTTAAAAGGAAGATTTATTTACTTATTTATTCATTTAACATACCTTTGATTACATACCTACAGTGTTCAGAGCATTATTCTTGATTCTGGGGAATAGATAAAATTAGGTAAGATTTAGTCTTTGCCTTCCTGAATCTTATAGGCTAGTAGGAGAATACTTAGAGCAGAGAATACTAGTACAGAAGATTAACAGTTAGTATCTGTATAGCACTTAAAAGTGTGTAAAATGTCTGACTCTCATTGGCTTCTTGGCTTCAGACAGCTGCTACTTCCAATGTCTAAATTGCCTTTACCTTCTTCTTGAGTCACTGCCATTGTGACTGGATGCTTTGGAGTGTGGCAGCTGTACCAGTCCTCTTTTCATTTATTTCCTTGTCTCCATGTACTCCAGGCCATAAGAATGCATTTGACTTGGATTTATTTAAGAGAAAAAAACAGTATATACAAATGCACAAATAATATGCCAGGATTTCAGTAGTTAGACATCTACCCATCCTTAGATCTTTAAGTTCCACAGACCTGGCATGGACCGTGAGCCCCAATCCTCAATCATCCAGTGCTCTCGTGACCCCTGAGGAGAATGGCACTTGTCTCTTCTAATTTGGAGATTCAGCCCCCTCGACACGACCGTTCTACCGTCCCAAGAGAATTCCCAGCCGATCAGGGAACTTCATGATCGAGTGCTAGGTTTGGAAGGCTCTCTTGATATTGCTCTGTTGGTGTTCAGTCATTTTCAGTCATTTCTGACTCTGTTGACCCCATTTGGGTTTTTGTTGGCAAAGAAACTGGAGTGGTTTACCACTTCCTCCTCCAGCTCATTTTACAGATGAGGAAACAGAGGCAAACACAGTGAAGCGACTTGCCCAGGGTCACATGGCTAGCAAGTGTCTGAGGCCAGATTTGAACATAGGAAGACGAGTCTTCCTGACTCCAGGCCCAGCATTCTATCCACTGTGCCACCTATCCATTGACCTTGGGTAAGTGACTTAACCTCTCTGGGACTCAATTTCCTCTTCTGTAAAATGAACGTGTTGGCCCAGATGACTTCTAAGATCCCATTTCTGGATTTATGATTTAATGATCCTTGGCTGACCAGTTATATTTCCCTCCCTTCAATCATGCATCTGCATCCAGCAAAGACAGGATTCTTGTTACTCAAAAATCAGATGAACTCAACAGCGGTTGAATTGCAAAGCTCACAAAGGACAGCCTCTCTTTTACTACAATCAGTCAATCAATAGACATTTATTAAGCACCTGCTATGTGCCAGGCATAACCTAACCAAGAGCCATTTTATGGGCAGACAGAAACTTAGTCCAGCTGAGTCCTTGGTTGAACATTGACATGTGGGTTTCACCCTGTGGCGTAGGTGAATTAGACACTGTGGGCTGGCAGCCTGCTGCCTCTTATTTTCATGGGTGTCCTAAGGTTGGTGGTGGAAGAGGGAGGGGAGTCCACCCCCATCTAGCCACTCAGTAAGTCTCCCAGTCAGGTGTCCTTTGCCAGCTTGGCTAGGACTCTCTCCTGCCCTGCCCCCCCCACACCTTGGTGCCCTGCCATTGGAGACTCTTTAATTATGTTTTTCTTTGCAGCAATTCTCTCTGCCTTATCTCAACTCCAGCTTATCTCCTGTCAGGCTGATGGACAGTGGGAAGGCAGATAAGGAGACTGGCTGCATTCACAGCTGCTTTCCTGGCTAGATTTCTCCCCGCTGTGGCCCACAGGCTGGCCATCCTAGACAGAACAAGAAGGAGCTATTAATTTCCTGGCACACCTTCCCTTTGTCCCCTTCTTCCTCATCCCTCACCGCAACCTGGCTCATTCTTGCTTGGAATATGAAACAGAGCTCTGCTCTCATCTTTCAGCTGGAGAAACAAGTCTATGTTGGCTACACTGTTAGCTAAGCTTCAGTTGCGACCCAAAGAGGACATCTTTTTGGAATCTGAGTTGGAGAAAATGCTGAGGCCACCTAACTCAGTCTGCATATTGAATCACAGTGGAAGGAGCACTGACTCCGTAGTCACAGGCTTTGTTGTTTTGCTGTCATTTCAGTCATGTGCCACTCTCCATGACCCCATTTGGGGTTTTCTTGGCAAAGATACTGGAATATTTTGCCATTTCCTTCTCTCGTTCATTTTAGAGATGAGGAAACTGAGGCAAACAGGGTGAAGTAACTTGTTCAGAATCACACAGCTAGTAAGTGTCTGGGGCCAGATTTGAAAGGAAGATGAGTCTTCCTTACTTTGGAGCCAGCACTCTATCCACTGTGACACCTAGCTGCCTAGTCAGAGGACCTGGGTTCAAGCTCCAGCTCCAAATCTTACTAACTGGATGACCTTGGTCAAATTATATAATTTCTCTGGGCCTCAGTTTCTTCATCTCTAAAATGGGAGTGACATTGGACGAAATGGCTTCTGAGGTCCTTTCCTGCTGTCAGTCTATGATCCTCTGCCTGACAAGCAGTCATCCGCCTTCTGTTTGAAGAATCTAGTTGTGGGGAATTGACCATCTTATGGGGCAACTCATTCTGCTTTCCTGAGACTGTAACTGTCAGGAAGTTAACATTTGCTTCTCTGAAATTTACACCCATGGATCCTGGTTCTGTTCTCTGGGGCCTAATGGAACAAATCTATTCCCTCTTTTATATGACAACCTTCAAATACTTATAGATAGCTAACCTGTTTCCTTTCTCTCTCATCCCAGTCTTCTCCAGAATTGAGTCCCAAGTGCTTCAACTAATTTTAATATGCAATGGCCTCTTCCCACTGTCCTGGTTAGTCTCCTCCTTTTGGATACTCCCCAGGTTGTCAATGTCTTCTCTAAAATGTAGTACCCAGAACTGAATACTATATTACTGATGTGGTCTGGTTTGACCATAGCAGAGGACAGTGAAACTAGTGTGGTCATCCCTAGCCCTGGATATGATGCTTTCCTTGATTCAGCTAAAGATCATGCTAGCTTTCTTGGCTGTAGTGTGACATGATAGATTCATACTGAGCTTTTGGGCCACTGAGATGCCTAGATCTTTTTCACATGAACTGTGGCCAGTGTGCTTCCTCCAATCCTTCTCCCTCCTCTCTCCCCACCATATCCACATTGCCCGAAGACTCCTACTGGGCTTTACGTATTCATTCAACAAATATCTATTGATTATTTATACTGGTCCACCTGTGTTGCAAATCTTTCCAAGCTTTTCCTTCCTGATCTTAGGTAGGAGCTGAGTTTCCAGTAGCAAGGCAGCCTAGATGGATCCAATCCTTTTAACATGTTGGTACCCCGGGAAGGGTGAAAAAGCATTAGTATTTTTAAATCAGATCTATGATTTCATTGTTTTAAGGAATTCTTAGTGAGAAAAGTCTCTCAACCAATGTATACTGGCAGGGGGTGGAGGGTGAGAGAGGTGGCAAAGTGGTACCTGCTCTGCGATTTCTAGTTTTAGAGTTTTCTAGAGTGGTTGAGTGGCTCACCCAGGGTCAGTAGCCTCACATATCAATACACTGGGACCTAAATATCTTCTTGTGAAAAAGTTTGTAAAGTCAATTTTTTCCTGTGAAAAGAAAGACTAAAGCACAGAATTAAGAAGTGACAAAATCTTTAAATCAATCAATCAACTAATTAATAAGCTTTTATTAAGTACTTACTATGTTCTAAACATTGTGCTAGGCACCAGGGACACAAAGACAAAATCAGCCCCTGCCCTCAAGGAGCAGCGAGGGAAGACAGACAGATGATAAATAGACAATAGGTAGAGATGGATAGAGAGAAAGAAAGAAAGGAAGAAAGAAAGAAAGAAAGAAAGAAAGAAAGAAAGAAAGAAAGAAAGAAAGAAAGAAAGAAAGAAAGAAAGAAAGAAAGAAAGAAAGAAAGAAGGAAGGAAGGAAGAAGAAAGATAGATAGATAGATAGATAGATAGATAGATAGATAGACAGATAGATTTTTGTTGTTGTTGTTCAGTCATTTCAATAGTGTCCAACTGTGACCACATTTGAGGTTTTCTTGGCAAAGATATTGGGGTGGTTGTCCATTTCCTTCTCCAAGATAAATAGATAGATGATGTCGTTGATAGGTGGGTAGGTAAAGAGGTAGGTAGATAGATAGGTAGATAAGTAGATAGATAGATAGATAGATAGATAGTAGATAGATAGATAGAGCATATGAAATCTAATTGGGGAGACATTAGCACTTGAAAGGATCAGGAAGGGCTTCATGTAGAAAATGGCTTCATGTAGAAAGCATTTTTAACACCTACTATGTTCTAGGTATTGTGCCTTCTGGGGATACAAGAACAAAAATGAACTGAGCCTTGAAGGAAGCCAGGAATTCTCAGAATCAGGAATGAGGAGAACCTTTCTAGGCATAATGGACAAACAGTGCAAAGGCACAGAGGTGGTAAATTGAGTTTCACTTTTGAGAAACAGTAAGAAAGTCAGTGTGGCTGGATTGTAGTGTGTGTAAAGAGGAGTATTGTAGAGGCAGGGGAATTACAATACTCCTTGCTCCCCATTGTCACTTCCAGGTTCTCCCCCTTCCTCCATCACTCTGTAGCTTCTCTTCCTTTGAAGTTCATGCTGTTCTTATCTATCACCCTATCAAAATTCTGGAAGCTGTTGTAACCATTGTACAGACCCCCAGGTCACTCTCCTTCCTTCTCCAGTGAGCTCAGTACCTAAGGATACCAAATTTTCCCTCCTATTCATCTCCTGCCCTCATACTAGAGGACCTCAATATACACATTGACTTTCCCTCAAATACCCAAACCACTTAACCTCCTCCACCCTACTCCAGCCATGCACCCTAGATCTTGCCATCATCCACAAATGTACTACCCTCCGTGTTTAAGAATTCTGAAATCTCTTTATCCAACAAACATCTATTGTCTTTTCACCTTTCCCTCTGCCTTCTCCTACACAACCCTACACTTCATGTGCACTGTGATCTCCAATCTTTGATCTCCAGTTCTCTCACAGACCACCTCCCCTGCACTTGCCATTTTCTCCTCTTCTCCCCGTTTTGACTCCTTGGTGAACCAATTAAACTCTACACTGTCCCCCTCTCTTATATTGCCAATTACACCCATTCAAACCTCACTCCCCTCATTTAATGTGTTCACTGTTACAGTGGCACTGTTAAATGAAGGTGGAGAAAATCACACAACCATTCTGATTGGGTCTACTACAAATTTATGATACATAACCTCAACTGGCCCCTTACTGCTGCTAGGCAATCCTCCAACACCTTCTTCATCAACTCACTATCCCTATCTTCCAAACCTTTTCATCCCCCCCTTAAGCTTCCCATGGCTCCCCTCACTCTGTCAGCTGAGATCTTTACCTCACATTTTACAGGAAAAAAATGAGGCCATTTGCTGTGAGCTCCTTCTTCTCCTCTCTCATCAAAGGGCCTTCTGCCACTTTCTCCTCCTTCACCCTTGTCTCACACGATGAAGTGACTTTACTCCTTATTAAGACTAGCCCCTCTGCTTGATCTCATTCTACCCCACCTCTTCCAACAGCTTGCCCTCTCTGTCATCCCCACTTCTCCCTTATTTGCAATCTGTCCCTGTTCACTGAGACTCATGTCCTTCTGTCTACAAACATGCCCATGTCTCTCCCATACTGAAAAAGCTCTCACTTGATCCTTCTATTCCCTGCTGTCATCCTACATACCTTCTGCCCTCTCGAAAAGGCCGTCTACAACTACATAGACACACACACCTTTT